TTTTTCTGATTTGTGTCTTAAAGTTCAAACCCTTATACAGAATATGGAACAGAAGAAAATTGTAAAAATCACTAGCATTTATGTGGCCTAGTGTGCAGAAGCTCATAGCTTTGCACATACTGAACTTCTTTAAAGTTTCCTCTGTGAAAACCAAACCTGAAAGGAAGGCAAAGAAATTTTTTTATTCCCGACTGGTCTAGAGCGAAAACTTCAGTAAAAAGCAAGACATGAGGAGGTTCTGATTATATGACACATTCCTGTAAAGGTTTTTCTTCATCTCTGCTAGTTATATGCTAAGGCCTGTACAGGTTTGCATATCCCAGTGGGTTTCTTCTGCAGCTCTTGATCACACACACACACACACACAAAAGAATTTACTCATTGGTTGCAGACAGTAGCAGTTTTACGGAAGCAGTATATGTTTCTTCTCTTGTTCATGCTGTGCCACATCCCTTCTGATACTTTACAAACATGCCTTCTTCTGCAAACCTCACTGAAGTTCAAATCTGTTTCAAATTACACTTCACAAGACAGGAGCAGTCACTGAGATCACTTGAATAACACAAGACATCTTTGACTTCATGCACAGAGGCTTTGCCCACAGAATATTTGGGTCATAAGAGCCCAGTACAACTGCTTCAGGAAAAAAAAAAGGTACGTATCTGCACAGGAAGTTTCAAAACCTCTATTTAGTAATTTTTGTGTTTTGCAAACTAGAGTATACTTTGGGAAAAGTCACTCGGATTGGATGTCATACTGCAAAGCAAGAGTAAGACTATGATTTCAATTTAGATAAGTGTTTTAAAATACTTCAGGTTTTATGATATCCTTTGTAGCTACTCACTTGGAAAATAGTAGAAATATTGGTAAGGAGCCTTTTGGTTTAACTCATTTTCCATCCATGGCAAGCTGAACGTGGATGGAAACATCAGCTACACACTGTCATCCTTTTCTTAAAGCATCTTTTGGTTTTCCATTTTTCTTTAGAACTAACAAAGGCCTCTCCAAAGACAGAACTGTTCTTCTTGAAAATGTATTGCTGAGTAGGAACAGAAAAGTTCCAACTGAATGATGAAAACAGTTTTATTAAAATTATCCTCTCACTTGAGATCATCCCCCATGTAGCTCTCTAGCAAAGACAAATGAGGATGGAGAATCTCAAGAAGTACAGACTACCTGGCTGGCAGTAAAGCCTGATCCAGAGAGATGCAAGAGTGGGGATCTCATTCTCCCCAGCTCCCAAAATAACCATGAAACACCTCGGTGAGACTACTCCAGCAGAATTTTTGAGGAAGTCACAGTATATACAGAATCTTAGAAAGCTTCTGCCCACTTTAGTGCTGTGATTGCTGACAGAAGTGGGGAAAGGCACTTGCATCAGTTCAGGGAGATACAGGATGAGGGGCAGCACACCTCCCACGCCCCCACCTTCTCTTGCAAACTGTGCCTTCTGTGAGGGACACTGCTTACTCCCCAGTGGTTTTGGCTGGAAGGCAGATGATTTCATAACTTGCTTTGACAATGAAGAGATTCAGTGCCGTCACAGGACCTCCGGATTTTGTCACTCTGTCCTCCCTCCCAAGGAATGAGATCATTGTTTCTTTGGGTCAAAATTAAGAGACTATTACAGGCAAAATGGCACAATAACAACTAGCTCGTCAGTCAAATCCAAAGCTCCCATTAGGCTATTTTTAATGAGATCTGAAAGCCTTTTTCAACAAAAATGTTACATTTTCAGCTTAAACCGGGAGCAAAACATCTGCAGAGACAGGGCACCTGGGCACATGTACTTATGATGGAGCTGCTGGTAATTTGGATTGTCACTGCTGCTTTCAAACACTTCCAGCCACAGAGTCGATAGGTTGTTCACAGCATATCTGAAGAAAAGCACTGGCTGTATTTGCCCTTTTCCTGAGGCTGCAGGGCCAGCCTGTACACAGCCCAGATAAACACAGTTCTCAGTTGCTTATTAGATGCAGACTTGCAACCAATCTTTTCCTCTGGTGTCTTATTTGAAATTTGCAGAAGATACTTTAAATATTTCCTTAAAATCATTTCTGGAAGAGAAAGACTCCAAAGAAATGAGACTTGGAGTGTCTGCAAACAGTAACAATGCATGGAATCTGCTTTGTTTTACCTTTCTGTCTGGATTTGCTCACATTGTGTCGGATAATCTGTATATATAGCTGTCTCTCTTCTATTAGCCAACAGGGTTTCAGAAGGCCATTTGTCTGCCCACTGCAGATGAGTGACTGGCTAGTGGTGTCTGAGCGAGTGGTAACTGTGGAGGAGTGGCAGACACACAAGGTAACCTCGGCTGACTAAAGGAAGTGGCCTGGGAGAGGCAGGCAGGGAGCAGGGATGGCACTGGTGCCGCTGCAGTGATTTCCTCACCAAGCTTCATGTGTGAACCAGCTGATTTTTGTTGACATGTGAGCCCTGCAGACAATTCCATCACTTCTAGAGCTTATACGTTCTTAAATCAGGGGCAGTAGTTACACAGTGCTTTTATCCAGAAAATGGGTAACATGAAAATTTGCACACTTCTTGAGGAATTAACAGATATACAGTAAAGTATCCAAGTAAACACATTTTCATAGCAAAAGTGTATACCCACACTGTTCTCCTCAGGAAGCGGGCAAAAATGATGAAGATACATCAGTATGGACTTTTCTTCTGATGATCAGTATTACCACGAACATTTTTTACAGTGAATATGTGTATAGAAAGTAATGATTTCATGGTAAGGTTAAGAGCTTTACTACTATGAAATATGATTCCTTTAGCATCTTATTGCTTATGCATAAGTACATAACTTCTTTAAGTGCTTCTGTGAAGCTCTTGATGTGGAGTTTCAGACAGATGGGAACTCTCTTCAGCTTCAACAGCAGAAAGGAGTTCAAAAAATGTTCTTTCAGGACTGCACTATTTCTGAAATCGCTGACCTGCTGAGATGTTTGCTTTGCTGAGAGCACAACATGCAGTGCAACATTCACTTATCTCTTCAACTTTCTGGAAACACGGCATCAAATACTCAATTCCCTCCAAAATCTCCAGATCATTTATGTACTGTACACTCAAGCCTACCATTGAGATAAGAGTTAATAGCTGCTTCTAATAAACCCAAAATGCTACTGTCCACCTTCATAAACCCTCCTCTAAAGGTATCAGTAGCCAGTCTCCCTCACTCCAATCTGGAGGCAATTAAGCTGCTGATGCTGACACCACTATTAGACTTCTACACCTGAACAGGCAGAATCCATCCAGGCCTAAGGTGATGAAAAATACCTGAGAATCCCTTCCTTCCTATTTTATTCAGCCCAAAAGATTCAAAAAGGTATGTTCCCTCATATCCAGGACTCCTTTAGATAGACCTCAATGCTACATGTCAAATTGGAAAGATTTGTTGAGCCATGTATAGTGCTGGGACAGAGCTACTACTCCCTTATCTGTATGTTTTCTCAAAATACACAATATACAAACATCACCAGACCTCTGCTTCGATCCTTTACATGGGACTCTCTCTCTTTCTGCAACACAGGCTAAACCATCTGCTTCTGAATACGAAGATGACACCTCAACACCAACACAGTCCCTGATATTAGAAAGCCTACCACAGACTTATCTCCACAAAACAGGAAAATAATGTGAACTTATGGGATGTTGATATCCAAAGAAACAGGGGATGCAGCACACATCACTATTTAGTATCTACACAGCATCTACTGTGATGTAGACTGCACACAGTTACAGGAACTGCTGGAGGAAACAACCATTTGCTAACAGGTTCAAAAAAAGGAACTTGCATAGTTTGACAGGATAGTCTTACACTTTTGCTGAGTACAGCCAAGTGTACATGGCTGTCATTAAGTAGTGTCCACCTCATCTCTCACAAGGCGTACTACACAACAGCGTTTCTCATTCAGCCACATACTCAGGAACTTCACGAACTTGCTAACTTCCCAATGAGATATGGTGCTCAAGGAAGATTACAAGTACTACAAGTTATCAGAGTAACCACTTAGGGAGGGCAAGGAACATATCCTGGAAGAGCACAAGAAGCCTCAAAAAGCTGTTATCCTCCATCTCCCTCCTTTCTCTCCCTCTATTCAGTCCTTATTCACCTTTACTTCTTTTCCAGGATTTTTAGAGGATTTTAAGTCTTTTACATTGTTTTAATTCTCATTTTTTCCTCATTTACCATGTTTCCATGAACTTTCATTTTGCTGTACCAAATGAAGTCCTTTATTGAATATGCCCCAAGTTTCACAAAGGGAAGGAATGTTGCCATAACAGAAAGATGTCAAAAAGCAAGTCAGTTCCGACAGAAAGACCTCAAATTTTTGTGAGACACAACATTAGACAAACTCGCATTAAACTGATGAGCAGCACTGAGAGTTTAAACAGTCTGTAGTTCAATATAATGAAAATCTGATAGTTTCCAGGGGGATAAGTGTGGGACTGGGAGTGCAGATTCAATTCAGATGCTGATATGCACGATATGCATAAAAGTCATTGGGTAAGCTGAGATGCATTGACCAGGCAGGCATCTGATTAGTCTCCTTCATGTAAATTTAACTCAACCTTGTCTTCAAGTATGAATAAAAATAAAAATTAATAGCCACTCCTTTGGAAAGAAGTACTGAAGCAGTAAAACTTTCAAGAGCCTCTTTGAAGCTGTGAATTTTGATTGTTTGAACTCTTATATAACTTAATGGTGACAGCTTTTGTAACAAAAGAAATTCTCAATACTGTTATTCCTTCTGTTACAGCATAACAGATCACAGAACTGTTCTTGGGTTTCCAAATATAAGCAAGTAGCTACTTACGGGATTATATGGATGTAAAGGATGTGTATATTCACATCCATTCAGTCTCTATTTCCAGTGGCCTGCAAGTCTGTTACTAAAAGAGGTTTTTCATTCAGTCCTATAAAATTTCAGCAAATACGTATCACTGTGTTAAACATAGCAATTAAGTTTTGATTAATTACTGTTTGCTTTACAATTAAGATTATTATTTTTATTTCACTTCTATCTCCTTAAAAACCTCACACAAATATTTTGCAACCCCTTCTACACACCCACTCTTGCTGATTTTTGGATCATTTTAAAACATTGAAAAACATTTAAATGTTTTTAAAACAATACATCATTTTCTGTCCTCTAATAATTACACTCAGACATGTAGAACTCATATCAGGTAGTTATTTTATCTAACCTTGCAAAAACATCAATTTCTAACCATACTAACACAAGAGAAACCAGAGAAGTAATTTTACTTCTGTATATGTGACTAGTAAAATACAGTTTTATGTCTCTTTTTTTAAAAGAAAAAATAGAGAATGGATAGAAAAGAGCCACAAAAATCATCTGAGAATGAGAAAAAAAAAATTAAGAACCATAAAAAACTCAATCTGTTTAGATGTTTCATAAAAAAAAAAAATAAAAAAAATTGAGAAGTAACTTGATTACAGGGTAAAAGCACCTTCCTGGGGAGAAAATAGTGAGTCCTAAAGAGCTCTTTAATCCATCAGAGAAGGAATAACAAGAATCCATGACTGGAAGATGAAGGCAAACAAATGCAAATGAAATAAGTTAGAAAATTTTTAGCAGCAGGCATGATTACTACTTGTATTATCCTAGTACCTGGAAGCCAAGTCATGGATCAGGGCTCAAGTAGGTGCTGGTAAAAAAAAACCAACCCAACCCACCCACTCCTCTCCAAAAAAGAACCCCAATGCCAAAACCAAGAGGAAAAAAAAACAAAACAGAAAAAACCCCCATCGCTGCCAAAAGGTTACAAATGAAGTAACATAATAAATCAATGATAATATTATCTGATATGACAGGCAGCAGTTTCAGGCCATGGTTTCACGATACAAAGTGTTGACTTGAGATACTGGCTTAAGGTGATTCTTTTGTATCAAGACTGTTTCATCCTGCTCCCACAATTTCTATACAGCTGTGAAATGATGAAAACTGACACTTATTAAAAAACCGCAGTGTTAAAAGCAGGGGGTTCATTTTTTCTTTGCAACAAAATGACAGTGGAACTGATACCCTTTTGCAAGCATTTTGATTTTCATGAATTTCAGTGAATGGGTTGAACAAATTTTCCCTAATAGGATCCCCACCTGAGCTGTTTACAGGACATCTGAAGTTGCTGTGGGGAAAGACTGCATATCCTAGGGAAAGACTGCATATCCTAGGGAAAGACTGCATATCCTAGGGAAAAGCATGCAAAAGCAAAGTATGAGATTGTTCTGTTTTCCTCAAAGCAAATCACTAGCTTGGTGACAAATCTCAAGTGCCATCGACAGATAAGGTAGACATTAACAAAAACTGAAACTGAACCCACAGTCTGGCAAGATTTCTCTGAAAAAAACTTATCCTCCTAATAAAGTCTAACATAAAAGATAGAGACATAGGTTTGTGATTCCCAACAAGACTGCTCTGGCACTGGAGCCTACACACCTTGGTAGCTTAGAAACACAGCAGGCCACTACATTTTGACTGGGAAGAAGACTAAAGGGGCAAGTCGAGAGCAGTATTTTCTATTATTTAAGTGAAATCAAAGATCACACGGATCGCCCCTGAAATTCATTGAGGAGAGAACTGGGAGACTCCGGGAGCATCTCCTCTTATTTTCCAACAGAAGAACACAGGAGAAAAGCCCACCTTTGATTTCTGTTTCTCCATTTAAATTATTAGCAGGCTGCAGGAACACCCCCAATGTCTACAGCACTGAGCAATTCTGAAGGAGCAATTCTCCTGAAAAGAAAACAAAAGCTAAAAAGCTAGGGTCAATGCCACACAAATATTCCCCAAGACTTGAAAGTAAACTGGGTATACCCATGGCATTTACTACCCAGCCTTCTTCCTTCCCTTCTTCCCCAGAGGTGGCCAGCCTCCTCCCACTGGCTGATGTTCTGTATTTCACTGAGCTGGATATTCATGTCCACATGCCAGACAGGGAAACTGTTACAATCAGTTCTAAAAGCCTTCATTTTTCTCTTCTTCCTTGTTAAAAATACTTCAAGCTATATCTATAATAAGCTACATTAAAGGAACGCCATTTCATTGCAAAGTTTAAATACTTAACAGCCTTAGTATTCAGCCTCATGCACCCTGCTGAATTTTTCCGCAGGACCGCGGCCACCCTGTGTATGCAGGACATGCAGCTCAGGAAATGAATCAGGGTTGTGTATCGAATTAGATTATTTATAGGTTGGTATATGTGTTTGCTCTAGGAGTTATGCAAAGAACAAGACAGACAACTACAGGAAGAGAGCGATGGGCATGTGGTTAAGGCAGTTGAATGCCACACAGGAACACTCAGTTCTGCCTTTGCCATCGGCTTCTGTGAGCAAGGAGCAAGTCAGACCAAGCACCTTGGCAGATGGCCACCAACCTTGTCTTCCTCATTTTCTGGGAGTCCAAACCGTAACACCTTGGGCCTTTCACACAGAAATGCAAAACAGATGATGATAATGGAAGGTTTGGCTCTTGAGGGAGAAATGGAGCCAGAGGCAAAAGGTTAAAAGGCAGGAGAACCCAATTAATATCATTGACTTTACTACTGACTGAACAAGTGGCTCAATTTTCTCCTTGGTCAAACAGGACAGTGGTGCTTTTCTGTTGTTCTGGGAATATGCGAAAATTCATCAAATACTGTGAAGATCTTAGCTTACAGTGCTTACAGAAGCACTGTAATAAACCAACAAAACAAAAAAGATTTTTCTCATTCTCTATATACTGAGAAAGTTCTGATCTTTTAATACGTTAATTATCACATATTGCTACGTATTTGTTTTTTAAAAAATACACAAAATAAATACTAAGATGCATAGAGATGAAACAGATCTGTTTTCCCTCTCGAACTCTTTTAATGTGATTTTGCAAAGTCCTTTCCAGCTTCTATCAGGGCTATAACTTTAGTACTTGGTGAAACTGCAACATGGTCATACGGAATACACAGGGAACAGCACTCAGTGTAATCAAAAGATATTCACTGGCTCACAAAAAAAAAAAATATCCTCACTCCCAGCTGTATGTCATGTAATCACAGCCACAGAAATAGAAAAGCAACAGGAGATCTAGTAAAAGTTAATGCCTTTTCCTACTTATTTTATTGATCTGCATTAGAGTATCATCATATTGAAAGCTTTCAGTACTAGTAGGCTACTAAGTTTGCAAAATAAAATAGATATACTCTGTGTCCGCCAAGGGAAAAACAAATCTACCCACATCTTGAAAAAAGTTCTGAATAGTTTTAACAGTTACTCTGACTTAAAAATCTGAGTTAAGAGAAATACCACAATGACCGAAAACACAGGTGATGATCTCCATTTTAGGTAGGAAGACGGTAAATGTAAAAATATAACACAACAATCAGAACAATCATGAGATATTGGCACATGACGGAACAGAAATATTTTAACAATGTCTGACAACATCCCAAGCACACAGCTTCTGAATGCTACTAAAGTGATGTGCATAAGACTCAAAGACAATACAGTTTTCTGGATAATTTTCATCAATCAGAAGCAGGTAGACAGGGGAAGGAAATAGAAATTTAGGTTCAGGCCTACAATCAGATCTTCAGAGTAGGAGCTTGCAGTCATCCAGGAGTCCCATCAACTCAGTCAGGCCCCACAGCTATCAAGGTCCATTTGAACAAATCCAGTGGCAGGATTAGGGTCTAAATATCTAAACAGAAAGAGAATGAAATCAGGTAACACTGTGCACAGGTCTAATTAAAGAGACACCAAACTAGTCACAGAAAAATAATCTGAGTGCCTAGACCATGACAAGATCTACATTTTTACCATAAAATGCTGCAGCTACAGGAAAGGCTACAGTGATATCTTACAACAAGAGGCTTATACAGCATTAATTGGTCACAGTGTATTTCCCTTCAGGCAAACATGAGTACCTGCAGTGTGTTTGCTCACCTCCTGCGTGCTGCTGCTTTTTCATAGTTAGATATAATTTGTTTTATTATTTTTCATAAAAGAGAGTAGTCTAAAATCAATAGAGGTAATGTATTTATCTTCATCAATTAATTTCCAGACACATAGATTTTCAGCCTCTTAGTAACGTGGTGGCAAAAACTAACATGAGATAATCTCCCCATATTTTAAAACACTGTAGAACTGAGAGAAAGTAATATTTCTATAGAAAGTGTCATTGTTATGCCTATCTGAAGGTTGTGAGAAGTTCTAGCTTGGCAGTGTTTCTCCCTAATGTTCCAACAAAACCCCATGGTAGCATGCATCTAGTATCATACAACTGCCAATGAAAAAATATACTGTTTCCAAAAATGCCTCCTTTATAATGAGGTTTGCCCACTGAAATATAGACTTTAGTACAACAGGAGTGTGTGACAGCAGCAGCAAAGACACTACAGGAACACCAGGTTTATGGTGCAACAAGCACACAGACTCACAGGCTGCACTGCGGAGCATCGTGTCATCCAAACTTCAACACCAGCTCTTTTCATCCACCTCAGGAAAGGGTCCCATGCTTTCTCTCTAGCTATGACCTTCCCATGGGTATCTGTCAGCTCAGGAGGGTGTAACAGCCAATTCACCATGCCTGTAAATGTTGCTGCACCTTGTACCTTCACTGGTACAACCTCTTTGAGACAGCCAGACCAAAGACAGAATGAGGTCCAGGTATGCCTCTGAAGGCATAACTCTACTACTATAGTAGAGTTATGCCTTCAGAGACCAGCATGTAACCAGACAAATCAGTATGAATACACTTCCTACACAATAAAAATGTTCAAGACTATCAACTATCTCTGATTACTTTCGTATCTCCTACAGGATGGCCTAAGATGCAGCAAGATCCTTTGTATAAAATAAATTAATAAGTGTAAAAATTATCTCAAGATACATGAGGATATGAACATGTGAAATTCAATGAGACATTGGTTTGCCTGTAGCACTGATGGAGAGGTAAGGACTCAAACTGCTATTATTTCTAATGGACGTTTAGAGCCCTTTTTGCCAAGACGAGAAACTGACTTTACTTAGACTACTTATACATAAGGAAATTCATAGATATGCAAGGCAGATGAGATTTCCAAAATTTGTGAAGAAAGGTAATGGTTTTGTCTTCCTAGGGTCAGTGGTGCTGGCTCAGGATAGATATCAAAATCTTTATTTCCATTTTAATGTTGAATTCCCACTTCCATACCACATGCATGTCCGAAACTGGTACATGGAAAAGCACCTATAACACTGCACTAATGGTGTCAGATTTTGGTTCTTTTATCTCAAAAGAGTTACAGATTCAAACCTGGCTGTTGCTCTGTAAACATACAATGGCTGGGGAGCTGAGCATGCAAGCAGGGCACGTTTGCTCACAAATTTATGATTTCACAAATTTTTAGCAGGCAAAGGGTCATTTACTGTCTTACCTGGCTATCACTACTCTTTCTCTGAATAACTTGAAACTGTTGATGGGCTATTAATATCAAATTCCTTCCCAGAGTTACATTTCTGAGGAAAGGCAATTTTTTAATGTCTCTTCCCTGAGCATACTACAAGTTTTAACTTTATAATCTGGACACCTAACTACTAGATGCCTAAGACAACCTTTCTTCTTGCTCTTGCAAAAATGCATTAACAGTTTAAATTTCCACACCTGGTAGAAATGTATCTATTATAAAAATAACAAGAAAGAAAATAAAAAGCTGTTTGATTTTTTTTTTCAGATTATGCCTCCTTGATACTAAAGTTGCCTCATCTCTGGTTTAAGTGAGAAATACCTAGAAGCAATTCTAATTCATATCTGTTTGCTACCATGCCCATATGACTACATGCCAGTGGAAAATTAGCCAAGAGCAGATGTTATTTCCTCTGTCCTTTCTCCAGTATCCTTTCTCAACCTGTGAGTTCTGAGACATGCTGAAGGGGGAAACAAAAGATGACGGTGGCTGATATGGAACCTGACTATAAAAGCTTCAAGCAAACTGAAAGCTTCCTCCTCTTGGGGAGAATTCTTACATCATCAGGCAGTATCAGGATGAGGAACAGAATCAATTACCTATTACTGAAGTACTACAGAGTATAGTTACTAGAAGACTTAACTTAATAATTTAATTGTAAAGAAATTACTGTATCCAGTGTTCACTATTACTGTAAACCAAATGAAAAGATCAGTGGCTTCCCAGCAAATGCAAACCACATCTTTTCATTCTAGGCACCCCACCATGACATTGCAAATCAAACTCAACAATTAACGTCCAGCCCTTTGTGGCAGGTAGGGAAATATTCTAAGCAATATTATGTGGGAAGCAATTGTAGGAGTGAAGAACTTAATAATAAATAATACAATTATATTTGAGGACAGATCTATACAGTTTCCGTATGAATGACTTAATTGGTGGTGGCACTCACAAAGCTGCATAGCCACACCATCATCCTGCCTACTGCGCAGACATATAACTCTAGCATCACCTCAGATCCCAAATACACTCCAAATCCCAAGATTCATATTCATAATCTGGAGATACTTTCAGTGCAACATTTTCAAGATGGTATTTTTCTTAGCTCTTTCAAACAATCAGGTTAATCATCATCATCGCGTTTTGATTCAGCAACATTTTTTCTCTCTGCCTTTGAGAGAGAGACACAGCCTAATATTGCATGCATTCACTCAGAAACCTGCTGCAAAGACCCTTTTCCTAGTTGAGCACTTAGAGAACACATAAGTCTCCACAGCTCTCCCTGGCTACTTCTGCAATATCTATTACTTGTCTTCAGTTTCAAGGCCCATCCTTGCTTCTCACCATCACACCTATTGCTCCTTAATCACTGTCAGGAAGACAGCTGTGGTTTGCTCCCATTTGAAGCTGGGACAATTTTCATGAAACATAAAGCTTAAAAGACCATTAGATCATACTGTCTAATTTGATTTTTATTTTGTGTTTGGCTAACACATTTTCAAAACCCTCCACTTTTTACTGGTAAAAAAATAAAACTCAGAGATGCTTCTTGCATCAGGAGTCCAGTTTCCAGCTCCTCTCTCACCCACACGTTGTATTTTCACACAAATTTCTTGTGCCTTTTTCTGTTTTATACCTTACACTTTATGGTAACTCCCTTAAATATTTGAAAACACATTGCATTGCTGTTGTTCAAAGCTTTCTCTGAAATTCAGCTTACTAACATGACCCTACAGCCCCTATGAGCAAAACGTGTGATAAGCAGTTATACACATATCATGTATTTTTAAGTGTCTAAAGTAATTAAGAGTGAGATGTAGGAGACGTATCCTACTATAGAGTAAGTGGAGAGGCTCCTGTTGAGAGTGATTTGGTTGAAAGAACTCCTGAAACATTTCAAACTGTTCCCTGAAGGAGTCTCTGTATAAGCTGTGGAAATAGCCTAGGCAGATCAGTCTTTTGATTTAGGTATCTGAGTTGGATCTCTAAAGTATGAATGTTCCCCCTAACTACTAGCATTTCCCTTCTCATCTATATTTTATATATTTTATTATTATATTTATTAGTGTGTATTTTCTATTTTCAACTGTATTATATTCACATTGCCAGCACTTAAAATTGCAGATAATCTTTTCAGCCTTTGTCTGTGTGGTGCCTAAAATCATAGGAACTAATAATTTACAATTACACAAACCAATATTTTATTAAACAGTACCTGATCATATAATTATCACAATATTACACACACACATACCTGGTATATGATGCACAGCTATGTGCATCAACTTCAACTCTGGTATTTCCTAAATTCCTCAATCCTATAACAAAGAGCTGGATTGTGTTCATGGCTGGCACCAGCTATTTTCTCCCCAGTGTGAATCATGGGCAAATCTTCAAGACAATTCCACACAGCAAATGAAGAGAAGGGAGAATCAGAGCAATGGGAAGGTATAGGGGGATCCAGGACACATACAGAATTTCTGGCAGAAAAAGCAGAGTGCAGGAAACAAACCATGGAAACCCTTGTCATGTGTATGACAGATGTCCTAAGCTATTTTCTGAAATAATTGATGAGAAAGTGGTAAAATGTAGGACTGCTAAAAGCAAAAGTAAGAAATGGAAGGAATCCCTTCATATATGTGAAGAGTTCATGCTCCACAATGTACGCTTCTCCCTGTTGAACTTACTGAACTTGAAATCTACCCTATTAAAAAAAGAGATTTCAGTAATATAAAAAGGTCCCTAAAGCCCAAAATTATGAAGCAAAACCCACTGACATACCTTACATGCTAAGAAATTCTCAGGGTCTCCAAAAACATGCTTATTGCTGGGAAAAGGATAATAAAGCATTATGAAAAAACAATGAACTTCAAGAAATCAGTTGAATAATCAAATAGGAGTCCCATACAAATTTAGAAATCTTATCCTAACACAAACAATAAGCAAAAGCCATACTAGGCATCCTGTAAAAAAGAAACAGAATAGAACAACTACTACTGATGATAATCTAGTTCTTGCTCCAGATCTAATGATCTAGATAACAGAAAAGTTCTTTCAAAGCCTGAAGTAGTAGAAGAATGCATCCTGAAGCAAGCAAACAAAAAAAATGAGGACACATGCAATCATAGATCAAAACCTGACCAAAATCTAAACAGGGCAAAATATTGGATTAAATGACTGATTTCATTATAGTAGATTTCTTTAATAGCAAATAGTTAACTACAAAGTGTATTAAAAAAATGTGTTTGGTCCTATGTTATGGTACAGTGGTAGGATTGCCCCTGTTTAATGGAAGTTGTTCATTAGGTCAGTTATGCCATAGTGGGAAAGTACACCAGTTGCTTTGGCCTCAGGAAGGAACCAGGGCCCACTTCAGCAGTTTAGTGAAAGTCTCTGCTCAACACCACATTACAATCAAAATAAGAATAATAAAACAGGCATCTTAAACAATGGAAGAGAATTAGAAGAAAGCCAGCGTAATAGGATTATAAAAATCAATGCTCTGACCTTACCAGAAAAAGAAAATCCCATATGAGGTACAGGTCACCCCTTCTCCAAAAGGGTACTAAAAAACTGGATAGGGTTCAAATGTGGACAATAATAAACATGGAAAATTCCTAGGAAGAGAAATTAGGAAGTTTAAAATCTAGAGTCTTATGCATGAACACGTAAAATAATAATTGCTGTAAAGAGGTCAGATCAGACATTTCTATGCTTGCTATCTTACAACACAAGAAAACAACGCAAAGAAACATCCAAAGTATGGAAAATTCAAAACTGTAAGAAATGTTTTTTCACATCATCTGTAATCCATTCATATTGATTGTCAAGGAAATTCAGTTATTAATCTAAATACAATGTCGCTATCGATGATAGTACATATCAAACCATTTACTACATAAAGAAATCAGGAAGCAACTTATTTGGAGTTAATATCAACTGAAGCATTAGATGTATTTACTAGTGAAACAGGAAACTGTATTATGGTTTAAACAAATATAGTAATCCCTGTGTAAAAATATCAACTAAAGAAAAAGAATAGCAACGTGATTTCATTATTAAAATTTTATTCACATTACAGTAATGTTTCCTACAGTTTGCATTAAATGCTATAATAGCTCATTAACAACAGTATAGTCATAACTAGAAGATTTTGAAACAACTGAAGTTTGGACACATTAAGCTTTTATGTAAGCAAAAAAGGCAAATACATGAAAAAATGAAAAACAGCACGACTATAAACTCATTTTCTCCTTCACTGCAGGTTCTACCTAAAATGCAATTTTCCCTGATTTACAATCACAGCCAGCTTCTTAGAAGTTTGTCTATTCTTCAAAGACATGACACTGAAGTTTTCCATTTACCACTTTTTTAAAGAATTATTTTAACAAGCATTCTCATTACAGATCTTGCTAACAAGCACCCAAAACGTGACTACTTACTGATCACCCACTAACAAGGTAGCTAGAATTAGCTTAAGCACTAAATCCTTAGTATGCCACCACTCTACTGCCTGGTTATCTTGATTAGATCATCCTGGTTTAGTTTGAAACGCATATTGTCACTGCACATACTAAAATCCACACTGCCCTGTTGTATTAGTCATTACAAAAACATACAGAAAATTATAATTTTTTCTCAAAGAGCAGCGAGTCCTAATTTTACTAGGATAGGCATGGTAAAAACGAAAGAGAGTGTAAGGATCTGGCTTCATATATTTTATTTGATTTTTCCCATTGTATCCGAGAAGGTGAAGAGAATATTATATTTTCTGAAAGTGGTGGAACAGGAGAGGCTGCCAGCAATGTCAACGGGAGGTTGGCACTTCCTGGGGCTAGGGCAGGTAAACAGGGCAGAAGTAAATGGCTAAAGCATCACGCAGTACAGTACAAGGTATAAATGAAGACTCTAAACATCAATAATATAGAGAATACAGAACCAGAAAGACTGCCTGGGAACTCTCTTGGACAGAGAGTATACAGCTTGTACTAGGACACAAGAAACTGAGAAATTTAAAGAGCTACATGAACTTCACATAGTGATACTCAAATGTAGACATGGGTACTGGTTTTGGCAGAGAAGGGAATTTCAGTCAATGGGCAGCTATGAGTCTAAGAAGACCTTGCTGCCTGCAATAACAGAAAAACTGCCTGAAATAAAAGAAAGCTAACAGGTTGCACAAAGGCAACATAAAGTTTCTGAACCCAAAAGGCAACATACCTTTCCATCTATGTTCTGAATGCAGCAGGTCATTCACCACCAGGATATTGGAACATAAAATTATTCTCCTTGTGTAACTTACTCTGTTTTGCTGTTTTCACAGACTGCATATTTGAGTGAATGAACTGTTAAGTGGCAGATTTCCCTTTCAGTTGCATAGCTTTTGCCCGCGATCATTTTAATAACATGCTTTCTAAAATAAAAGGAACATTTTCTTTTCTAAAGATATTATATGCTTGATAGGACATTTTGAATGCACATAACTTGAAATATACTTCACTGTACATTTACCTGCAAAGTTGCCCCATGCTTTTTTTTCCCATTTTAAGTGAACAGTGGGTAATAGCAATAAACTAAATTCATGGGGGAGAAGGTGTAAACTAACTTCATTTAGGTGTGAAGGAATTTCTTGTTAAGGGCACTTCTTTGTTCACACCAACAGTATCAAAGCTATTTATTTGGTAATAAAAGTTTCTGGACTGAAACAGACATTTCTGAAGTTGTTGATGATTAATGTACAGTTTAACAGAGCCATTACTTTGTGACAGGCACTATAGAAGCCAAGTGTCAGATAATATATCAGCTTCTGCTCCACTTTAATTCAATGGTCAGAACTCTTATTTTTAACATCTTGTTTTAAATATTACACCGTAAAGAGTTCAGCAGGAGACGTAGTAGTTGGAGTGAAAGTAGAATACCTGCCTTGTAGCGTTAATATCATGTAGGCATTAAATGGGATGTATTTTAATATTAGCCAAGGCACGTTTCTGAAACGAACACTTGCCACAATCCACTGTATAACCACTAAAGGACGATTTAAGTTTGCGCTACATACGCGCGGAAGAAAACTGACACGAAGCCAGCGTGGAGCGGGCGCGACGCCCGCCCCAGGCACCAGCTGGGGCGGCGGGCAAAGGTCCCTCGGCCGCGGTCCCGGCCCGGGCCCGGCCGGTTGCGGGCGGCTGCTGCTCCCCGGGGCCGCCGGGAGGGAAGGAGGGAGGGAAGAGGGAGGGAGGAAGAAGCCGCCGGGTCCTAATGCCGCCGAGCTCGGGCAGGAGCCTCCCGCCCGCTGCTGCCGCGGCCCTGGCGGGCCGGAGGCACCGAAGCGACGCCCTGACCATCCCCAGGGAGAGTTCTCTGGCCGCGCTGGCTCGATCAGTGATCTCATGGAGAACCCCCTGAACGTGCAAAACCTCCATGTGCTCGGAGACTAGCAGAGCTGAGCACAGCCACGGGTGAAAACAGCATCCCAGGAGAAAGGCATTGAAGGATTCGACAGAAAAAGGAAGAGGTACCGGCAGCCCCTGACATCGACGCACCTCTGTGCTTGTAAGAAATCCTGATTTTGTTCCTCAAAACTCAGCGCCTAAACTTTGCCTTGGAGCTGCTCATCTTTATCACACAGTACAGGAACAGAAACAGGTAGGAAAGTGTTTCAGAGTACGCTCTGAAACAGGTAGGAAAGTGAGAGAGCGGGACTAAAACTGCACATGCTGTAGCAGACACAAGCAAGATTCCAGGATCTCCCTAGCGAACCAAGAAAGGCTCTTGACAAGCCAAGGATTCAGAACAGAGAAGACTGCAAGAAGTACAGTCTGCTGAGGCAGCTTTTACACTTGTGCATGTGGAATGTACCAGTATGTCTGCTTTCTGCCTTGCTCTCGCTACTTAGGTTTATTACAAGCAAATACAGCTATATAAGAGGCAGAGATACCACCCTCTGCACCCATACTCCATCCTCTCAAACACATCAGCCTGGTCAGAGCAGAAATTTCTGATGTATTTTCACTTTGCTACCTCCTTCCTCTCCTTGCCTATACTTCGACATCACTCGAAGATTAAACAGTAGGATTGTTACATCTTTATACATTTTATACCATTTTAGTGAGACACTTAAGTGACCTGAGATGACTTGATCTCGAATGCTAGAATTAGAAACAGGAGTTAAATGGTTACTTTTATTACCTTCCGGTGCTTCCTGTGGAAATTGTGATCAATTTTGTTAATAGTTGTGTATAGTTTTTATTAATGTGCCTACAGTCTTAAAGCCTAAACCTGACAAGAGATGGGACAGAAAAGCTCCACATCAGTGAAAGTAGTTAGGTGAGCAATCACAACCTCCTCCTGAAAATTAACAAGGACATAAACAGAAAAAGTCGCACCCAATGTACAGCCATGAGTAGTGTTAAGTGAAAAATTTATATCAAAGAATGGTCTTCCCATGAATGTATCTGTTCACTGTGGCATAAACTCCTCCACTACATACCATGTATAATAGAACAAGACCATTCTTTAAAAGCCAGAATACCTGACTTGTGATATGTCGTATCTATCCTGTCACAGCAATGTCTTACTCTTATCAAAACTATGGCTCTGTCACGTAGAGAACAAAAATTCTGCAGCCATGCACATATTTTCAATATATGAATCAATTCAAGCTTAGAGTTAATATTATATGACACATGAAAACCCCCCAACTGTCCTAATGATTCAAAACAATATCAGAAAAATTTTACTTCATGTACTTTTCAAAACTTTTCCTCTCATCTCACTGCTGTGAGTGTGCATCTCTTTCCCTATTACAGATACTAAAGAACCTTCTTGCAACATTCTGGTGTGAAGCTTCTGTGATGTAAGTGATAATTTATCTGATGTTATCGATAGGTAAATCTGGTTTGTCTTTCACACAATTATAGAACAATGAAAAATTAAATTCGTAAGAAAGCTAAAATTCAAGGAGAGCTAAGATAACCATGGGTCAAATGGTTCAATCTAATACTAATTAGTGTTTTTACAATGTGGAGAGCACTAGATCTGTGCTATCGACTTCCCAAATAAAACAATTTCTGAATCTGTCTAAATACTTAAAAAATACACAGGTGGCAATGCAAATCAGCTACTTCTATAGTCTCTCATCAAATAGTCCAGAAATGAATACACTGAAATTGTGCCACTTTATTAAAAAAAAATTAAAATCACTATTTTTCAGTTCCACTTTATGCTCACATGACAGATGTAGCTTACAAACTCAGCAAGTTGTGTGAAAAAGAGCAATCAGACATGGTAAAACAGAGCTTTTTGAAAGAATGTATATTGAGTAATTGCTAGCACACATGTCCAAAGTGCACAAAACTTCTCAAGGATTCAAATGGGCATAAGAGCATCTTCTACACTTTTATGTGTGATGGCATCAAGTTTCACTGTGGGCTGCAATAGTGAGGACATGCCTTGAGGCTGGCATATTCATTTAACATATGAGTCATTCAGTGTGGAAACAACATAAATATCCACAAACTAATGAATTGTGAAAGAACTATAACATTTCCCCCCTCAGGCTTGCACCTACTAAAGTGTCACAAATTAAGTCAATATCACAGAAATGATTCAGCAAAAGAGAAATTAAGCAGTAAACAGCAGTCAACTCTTTTACAAGTCAATCACTTAACCGTTTTTACTTGAAAGAATACCAGTCAGTAGTCATCTTACAAAAGATCAACAGAAAAAGACACTCCAGACTTGACTTTATAAATACTGCAACTAAGGTAAGATACCTCTATGACATGGAAGTTGCAACCTAGGTTTTTCTCTTCATTGATATCATCCTTCAGAATTTGAGGGATTTAAAATTAAGAAGATATAATTCCCTTTTCCCTCCCTAGATGTTGGTTTAAAATGTAGAAAGATAAAATAACTAACCAAACACTTGCCGTGCAATGAATCTGAATGAAAGATTAGCCTGGCAAAAAAAAAAAAAGAAAAAAAAAGTTGTAAGCAGCCTAACTTCCTCATCCGAAGTTACTATATTAGCCTAAAGAATTACAACAGTTTAAAAACCACTTATAAATACATAGAAACAGGTATCTAAGCTTATATTCATATATCTAACATGCATATTTGTACAGTGCAGCTAAAGGAACCTAGTATGCCCTAAAATTACAGTTGCTGATTTGTGTTTTGCATTTTGGCACTGGAATGAGTAAACAGCACTTTGAGGGCCAGATTTTATCTCCCTCCCACCTAGAAAGTAAAAATGAAAAGCTGAGAGTTACAGAAAGGGATATTAAATAGAAGTCACTATTAGTCACCTTCCATACCCATCTAATTTCAAATAAGGAGACTGCTTACATTGATCTTTTCGGGTCTAACTTACACACTTTTGTCAGACCTTTGGAGTCCGGCACAGACCTCTCAGAAGCTCACCCACCAGGCATTCCCTGTACTTCCTCTCCCAGTATCTTAGTGAGGATACTTTCTTTCAATTAACACTGCCTTAGGTACCTGTTACGATGCATGTCCACACTGCAACTGAGCACAGTGCAGCTGGACTCTGTCAGCTTAGCTGGTACTCTGCCCCCCCGAGGATACACTACTGTTTTCCTGCTCTCATCCTGTGCCCATGGGAAGTATCCGTGTTGGCACAAGGATGCATCTGAGCTCCTTATCCTTGCCTCTGAACAGGGCTAAGGCCTCTGACAGGCACGCACTGGACCGAATGCTGTTACCAGTCTCAGACATTAACCACCACCCCTCTGACCAACACACTCTATCCGATTAATGCCTAATCTGCTTGTGAATCAACCCCTGAGCCACCATAGCTTTCTGCATGGCATGAGAAAATTAAAGAGTTCTTAAAGTTTGTCAAAACCCCAGTGTCACTGGCAGTAGCACTGCTGGAACTGCTATATCAGCTACGAAACTAGTTCATCAGAAGAGCACTCAGCGCCTGTGCTGCTCATTACTACATACCATATACATATCCAGCACCTCGAAATACCCTTACAAAGAAGCTTTAAAGAACTGTCAGCTGCTACCAGATCAGTTCCACTGCAATATCAACCACCAGTGGGATTCAAAGAGTAGGAAGAAAAAGAGGCATAAATTCTTTGTGGATTTCAACAAGTCAATATATACACAGGTATGAATATACTTGGCTCTAGTGAAAACAAGAATTTTTCTGTAAAGAATTGTTTGCCTAAGTTATTTCAAATACTAAATTAAAAGGAATCACTTTACTATAGTACAGTTACAGTAGCACTTTCACTGGTGTTTCTATTTGCATTTTCTAATTGTGTACATTATTTAAACACTGTGAAACTTCCAATGAAGTAGTATCAGTATAGTAATTTAGTATGCTGCCATTATATGTTTTTTAACCTATATGAGGATTAAAAGTTTCCAGCTATGATTAGTTTGTCAATAATTACGTGTTTCATATCTCCTGCAAAATTGGATGCAATGCCTGTTAGAACAGTTACATGTGTAGTGGTGAAATATGCCACCAGGGGTTAGTTATAACATACTCTGAGTGAAAAAAGAAAAAGCTGGGTTTTTTAAATAACAGTTCAAAAATATTCAGTTCTAAATATTCAGAGAAACAGGCTCACAAACAGTGAGCCATAAATGGCCACTAACTGCCTCTCTAAAATAACTTACTTTTCTAAAAAGATACTTTCACTGTTTTTATATGCAAGAAGTCACTGCTAAGTAAAGTTGTTGTATGCTGCTTCAGAATTTAAAATACTGCATGATATAGAGCAATCCTTCTACTTTTCACATTTTCGAACAAAAATTCATCACACAAATCTTCAGAGAGATACACAAACACATTTTACTGAGAATTATCGAGTAGTGTTTAATAGATTACACACAAATTCTTACCAGAATGCCACTGCTTTTGAAGATGCCGTGTCCATTGTTATCCTTAAGATATCCATTCGTATTCATCATTAGCACCCTTCTTGCTTCGCACTCTAGCTTTGGAACAGATTTCTGACAAGCAACCCACACCTACCAAAATGGTTTCTAGAAAGCAAATTATATAGCTGTAAGACATGCAAAACCAAACAGCAATTTGCAAACCACTGCAAGTGCAATGCAAACATAGTCAATATAAAATTAATTCTGAAATGTTCATCGTATTATGCTGGACACTAACATAACCACAGTTGTAACATTATACTTTTATATCACCAGTTCACCTATAGAAAAACTGCAAGAGCAAAATTCCTTTTACCCCATGAAATCTCATATACCTCATCTCATTAAGGGTGGTCATTTGCCTATAAATTATTTTAATAAAAGAGCAGAGTAAAGGAACATTATTCTTAATCATTGTTAAGGTCCTCTAAGGACTAATGAAAATTGAAGTTTCATTATGCTGGATAGTGTATATACACAGAACAGCAAAAGGTCCCTGAGCATATTAAAAACAACAGTCCAAACAGGGGGAAAAGTTCACACAGAGCACAAACAGCAGCACCATAGTAAATGTAACAATAGTTCTACTTTTTCGGTGGCTTTTGCTTGCAAACAAAATAGGAGATACAGGGTAAGGTGGGCAGATTGGGTGAGGGGAAGCATACATAGTAAGCAGGAGTGAAGCAGAAGTAAAGAGGTAGAATGGACAGCAAGAGGGTGGAAGAAACAGTCAATAAGCATAGGATAGACAGCACCTAATTAAAGCTAGTGAATGTTCTCTGAATGATCAAAGGTCCCTGGGCTTTTGGCTCTTTCTGTTCCAGTGAGTTAGTCTCTGACAAGGTCCTTTCTTTACTGCTCCCAGGCTTAGAGCAGAGGGTTATACTGATTTTCAGACTTTTCCCCATCACAATCCCCTCCCCACCTTTCGACATGGGATCAAAGATCTTTCCTGTAGCTTTAAAAAAGAGATCATCTGAATCTGCTCAACAATATCTTTATAGAACAAGTACATGCAGATCGGCCTTATTCACATGTGGTCCAAGTTCTGATATTCTGACTTCAACCTTTCTAATTCTTTCTTAGGTAACACATGCTGGATAAGATTCATTTACACAGCAGGAAAGTGAGGCAAGACACTGATCTGTAAAACAGTAGTTGAAAGTTGATAGGATTATGTAAAACATTGTGTTTCACACTGAATTACAGAGAGTTTTTAGGATTTGGGTTGGGGACAGCTGCTCCGTAGACTCTGGTGCACGCAGCCAGACGAAAATATTCTAACCTTCACAGTCAACTGTGCTTGTTCTAGTATTAATTGAACAGATTAGGCTTATATCAGAAAGGAAGATGCAGTATTTTCATTGTCAAAACACTCACCGTTTATATCCTCTAGCACAAATGGAGGTAAGTCAGTGTAAAGAGCAAGTTTGCCCACAAAGGCAAATCAAATCTATGAAACTGAAGTGGTGTAAATTTTTATGGGGCTGTATGGATAAGGGCAAATAAACTAGAATGAAGCCACTTTCATCTGGTATAAGGTCTCCAATACAAATAGTTTATACAGGCATAGCAACTGCAACATAATTAAAAACAATTTCTGGAACTGGGCCACCTCTCCTAGGTTGTTTCCTTCTATGCGGAAATATGCTACCAGTATACACAGTTTTATATTGATACAGCTCTATTCATACTACAGCGAAAGGTGGCTGATACTTTAATTATGCCGGTACAGATAAAGTAGAAAAATGTCTGATAGAGAACTTAGTGTCTCACGTATAGTCCATTTACCTCTTGCAAGATAGCAACAATATTCCTAGTGCAGGCGAAGCTTTGGAGTACTAATTCTTAACTTAAAAAATAATCCCTCCTGTGTAATTCCCAGAACATCACCAATCTTTGAAATGTTAATGGAATTACTAGAGACAAATCAGACTTTGAATTTCTGCCAGATTCAGTTCAGCTGACAAGTTTTCTGTGTGCCACTCAGGTGTCACCATTCTTTTCACAATCCTTTTTTTTTTTTGTAAATGAACTGGGTTCTTTCAGCAACAATGCTGTGGTAATTTTGAATCTTTGTAAAAACACTGGTAAAAGCAAAGTGTGTGTTTTGGCTTGAAAAATACACATAAAAGCAATTACTCGTCCTCTGCCAGACTATAGCTTTGGAAATTACCTCTGACTTGCCAATGACAATAACAGGCAAGTAGTTATCCAGCAAAATCCCTTTAGTTTAGCTGTACAATATTACTTCCACCAACACCTATACTTTATTTGGTTGTTTGAAACAGCATCTGCGAATTCAGGCTGTGTTGTTAAAAACAAGTCATCTTTTTTGCTTCTAAAGGAACAAACTTCTCCAAGTATTCCTTAAATGAGAAAAAAGAAACAAAAAAAAAAATGTTTTAACAAGTGTGTTCTCCTTGGGACACTATGAATGGTAACTCCCAGACAACTGAGCTGAGGCACCAGAATCACCTGATAAAACAAGAATGCATTTTCCTCCTTACTTATGACTTGTTTTACAATAGCTTCCAAACCAGACTTAATATAAATGCATACATGCAGTGTTTTTGTCTCCCTATCTCCATCTCCCCTGAAAATAAGATCCCTGCTCTTAGGAATCTTTAACTGAAACTGTAACTTCCCTATCAAAAGTGAACTGTATTGACCATAACCTAGCTAGCATATAGAATGTACTGGTAGGTAATTAGTTATTAAAAAAAAGTAATTTTTTTTTAATAGCTTAAACTTGGGCTCATCTTACAGATGGATCTGTGTTGCAAACTGAGGTTACTTTAAAGTTCATGTTTTTTTGTTTGCTAGTTGCTCAATCTCAGTAAGAACAAAAAAAAAAAGAAAAATAAAAATCAACAATACAATACTTATAATAGTAGCATCCTGTCATAAATTAATAGGAAGGACGTACTTATATAGAAAATCTCGTTAAATAAACATGATATCTCTCTTTAGAAAAATTATCTCATTGCAAATAAGAGCACTTTAAAGACCTGCCAATAAATGTAGTCCATTACATACAGAAATTGGAATTTCTCAGTGGTATGAAATTCTGTAACAAATTAATCTAAAATACTTGTTACATACAGAAAGTATTGTGAAGAATGCAATACTGTAAGTTATTACTTATAAATCAACTTCACTGCTCTTTTTGACCCATGAAGAATTTTCTAACGTTGGAATGGGATAGAATAGAACAGAAATTTAAAAATTCCCATCAGGGGAAAACTGAGGAAAATCGTTCTTTTTCCTGGAGATTCCAAACATTTTTTCCCCCCAGATCTCTCAGCCAAGATCCTTTTTCCAAATCTTCAGAGATGCTCTTTTTGTTGTTACTAAGGTGAGAATAATCTTGGATATGTATTCTGCTGAATAAAACATGCTTAGGAAATTCACTCCACATAGCACTTGCCTCTGGCCCTGTATTGTGCCCCAAGAGGTATAAGTATTTATTCATTACCCTTTATGTGTAAAGCAGATAAACAAGGTTGGAGGGCGGGAATATATACAGCTGATGTCTCCAGGACTAAATGATACAGTAGGAAGTTAGTCCACAGCAAGTTGCAATGAAAGACAATGTCTCTAAAAATGGAGTAGAGAAAAAAAACAGTCGCAGAAACAGTTAAGACTCTAAAGTAAACACTCTCATATGGTGTTTGGAAGCAGAAGGCTCTGCCAAAACAGACATTGCTTAAAGAATAATCATCATCATCATCATCTTCACCAATGAGCTAGAGAGTAAATCAATTCCAGAAGTAGTCATGAAAACAATGGGTAGATATGAGCAAAAAGGTAAGTCTCCAACCAGAGTCTTTAACTTAACCAAAGCAGAGGGCACTTCACCCATCTGCAAGGTGAAATACTTAGTCCCTTAATTTAATACTGGCTTAAAATGAACCACTGTCCTTTCAAAGTATCTGGAGTCTCAAAGCCAGGTCTCTAAATGACTGCTGTATTCACAGTGCTGCAGAAACTGAAATTCAAGTCACTGACTATCCCTCTCTGATGTACAGATTTGGACTCTCCATTTGATAACAAGGACAGTATTTGTATCCTGTAAGATGGTATTCCATAACACACATAATAACTCATTCCATAGTATGATAATGAAGCTAATCTTCCACGCACTACACAGGCTTCATCACCTCTTCTTGGTGAGCATGTCAGGAATGAGATATCCTCTCTTGGAAGACCCTGGAACTCCCATAGCTGTATTGCAGACAAGGAAAAGGAGTCTCCTCCTTCACAAATGTAACCAACCAGCTCAATATGACAACACTAAAATTGTGGGATTGAAGAGGACAATATTTAAGCTGGATATTGATGACCAGGATAATAAATTTCTGGGCCTGCTCTCAAAAGAATGTCATGATGCTGGGAACCAAAACCAGTATAGCATGTTGGGTGCTGCCAACAGTCCTGTCATTGTTGTTAAGCCCTAAGGTAACCTATACCTCAGCTTGCACAGCCAATGAGTCCTCTCTCAGACATTCTTGGAACACAGGTCCCAAGAACAAGTTAAGATACATCTTTCTCAGGGGGCAGGAAGCTAGTTGTGTTCCAAGGAGGAATGGAATGGAACTAAGACAATCCATAAAACTAATCCATCAATGTGTTAGCCACAAAGAGAGGTCTGATCTTATATATTGCACAGATACTTCTATTTTAAAGTGCTAATGGTGTATACTTACCTACAGTGATAGGAACTGTCTCTTAAAATGTCACTTCTCTAAGATTGAATGTGCTGTCTGCTATGTGATTTTTTTTTAATTATAAAAAACAGTTTAAGTAACTGTTGCTCAGATTTTCTATAACTTTACAAATTCAAGAGGTGCAGAAATTTGCCCCCAATCCTTTAGTATCTCCCACAGCAAGAATGACAAGGATTACTGATTTCTATAGAGTGGGAAAAAAAAAAAACAACCTGTATTTTTCATCACCATGAACATGCAACTTACTACAAGCATGTGATACTTCCTCCACTTAAATAGAAAGCTACTATAAAACCACTTGTATTTTAATAGTTTTGTTTAACCAATTGCTTGGCAGGAACAGTTGCTTACTTTCTTAAACCAGATGATCTACTTCAGATGCACCTGTTTCTCTCACATTCTATATTGCCTATAGAACTGAACATAGGAAATCCAAAATCTATCTCATTGATGTTAATGGCTCATTGAAGTTAAATGTCTAAAAAGGTAATACATGTATTTCTTTGATTTGTTGTAATCTTTTATCTTAAAATACTCTCCATTTTTATTCTTGACCTTGATCTCAAAATTCTGATCTTTTATAGTATCTTTCTGATTTTGAAGAAGGCAAGGAAGTAAGTCTATAGTTGAAACTGGGTAAGTCTTAAAAACAAATCCCCAGATCTTTAATGTTTTCTCTTTGAAACACGATCACATAGAAGAAGAACTTTTTGGTTTTAACTAGGAAAATTTATTGCTCTTTCTCTAACAGTTACAGAACAGTTTTCCACTTTTTCCTCCTCCCCCAAAAACAGAGAGTGAAGGAGGACCCTGGATGATTAACTAGGACAAGTTACTGGAGACAGCCATAACAGTTCCTGTTGCCATTGTTCCTCTCCATGTTTCCTGTCTCTGTTACTGAGGTAGCAGCACCTGCTACACCACTGTACTTTGCAAGTTCCGAGTGACTTTAAAGCTCTAGGTTACAAACTATACTGAGCTGTCACAACATAAACCACTGAGCTACCCGGTCCCTGTACCTGGAGAAAGTAGGGACCAGCTGGAGCAGGAAACAAACCAAGTTAATCCCATGATCTGAACAGAACCCTTAACACTTATTCTCCAATATAAAAGCTGTTACTTCTAAATTATGCACACATTATCAAAAGACTGGGAACTCTGTCTTCACAAAATGGAAACTGTAGTAGTTAAACTAGCTACACACTCATAGCTACATGTTGGAAACAAAATAAAAATGTGGTTGGAATTAGCACTAGACATTCATGTTCTGTGTCAGTATGGAAGTACTCTTTGGGAACAGTACTGCTGAAATGTTAGATAACTATATAATGCTCAAACTGCAGCTAACAAATCCTCTCACAAATAGAGGCATATCTATTTTAAATTAAATGTTAAATGGAAAGTATTTATAATTTAAGTTGCACCCTTTGCTACTTAATTATCATAACTTTGAAAAGAAGAAACCTTTAATTTCCTCCTCCAAAGAAGTTATTTACCTGAACTGTAGCTCGGAAGTCCCCAGTAGTCTCTTCTTAGATTCTCATCCCACTGAATGTCAAAGACTTAGCATTTCAAGGATGGGATTTCAACATCAGTTATTGACAACTTAACTTGGTCTCACTAAAGATAAACCAACCTTTATTCCCACTCAGGTCAGCTCATTGATTTCACAGAAAACACATCTAGAAAGCAGAGCTGAATACTTTCAGAAATTCCACCCATCAGATAAAAAAGGAAAAAAACAACCAAAAAACAGAAATTGGCATAAAATATTTAAGACTTGTTGATGCATGATAAATCAATATTTTTGTGTATTTGTGTGCATTACAAGTAACTGAAACTACTGTTAACAGCTTGCTGAAATAATATAATCTCAAATACTTTACCTTCTTACTCTTCAGGTACAGGAATCCTGATCTGTGAAGAAAACCCACTTTTGTCCACGTACCAGAGGGGAAACAATAACAGTTCTGCTGAAAGAGTTAAAAAAAATACCCTTGCTGCTCTCAATATCCATATTATAGACATTGTAAGCATTATTATGAATAATACTGAACTTGGTTTCTGTTTTGCTCTTGTCCTACTTTGGGTTCTGTGGAATGGTGTTCAATAAAAGTTTGACTTCATGTACAGCCAGAACCCCTTCTCACCAACAGGAAAGCCTAATAAGCTTCAGAATATATATTGTTGTTCAACTACATTAAAAATAAAGTCAAAGCCCTCAGTTTTTATAACTCTGTAGCATTTATAAAAAAGCATTTTAAAATCGTACCTTGTGGGCACTATTCATAGCATTCATATTGTAAAATAAGACCAGAAAATTTAAGCATTATCTCCAGAATGAATTCAGTTTTGTGAATTCTGTGGTTTGTGTTTTATTGAAATGCATTTCAACTTTTAGAAGTTCACTGAAGCAAAAGCCTCCTTTTCATTACGGCTGTTCCTGTTTGGAGTATGTTAACGGTTCAAAAGCTTTTCTTAACTAGTTTCTGATTTTTAATTATCCACTACATTTATAAAGCATATCTTTGTGTTTTCTTTAAGTATAAGGGGACTAAACTAAAGGCTTACACTAAAGAAGTGATGTTCCTTCCATGTCACTGAAGTTCTTAGCATCAGGAAGGAGGCACTGATAAGAAGTTAAGTATGTGCACAAAAACATACAGAGCAGGAGCCTTAGTTTCTAGACCCCAAGGATATCATAGTATTAAATTTGAAAAATCAAGTACTTTCAATTCCGTAGGATTTTTAGAAAGACAAATGGTATTGTTAAGGCTTCTGAGATCATATATGTGTCTACAAAGATGCAAGTGATCCAGTAATTTAGCAACAAGGTAGACAGGTATCATGAAAAGATTCTATATTTGTGCACCACTGAAAAGGGTGATGAACTGTACCCTGCCATTCTGATATGAAGCATTTGTTTGTTTGGCTTTTTTCCAAATTATCACTTGCTTGGCTGTTGGTTAAAATACCAAACTCATAGTGAGTTCTCTTGGTGAGAGAATCCTCATCTTTTTTGTGTGAGAGAACACAAAAAAAAAAAATCAAGTACCTGTTTAAATATTCACAAGTATTCTATTAATCTACTTCTAATACTTCTTATTGAATGTACATTGCATAGAATTCCCATGCAGAACATGACCATAAACCAATTTCTGCTGTGAAGTCATTAATGTTATAAAAATAACTGGCTGTCTTGAAAAAAAAAATATACAATGTACTATAACCATTTGTCTAAAATTAAATTCTGATCCAATGTTACAATGCCCAGATTTAAGGATCTATTTTAGGAAAAAAAAAAAAATACTGGCACAAAATTCAAAAGCTGATTTTTTTAAATAGAAAAATTTCCAAGTTGTGAAAACCTGTCTGTGACTTCCTTTTTACTTCCTTTGAATGACCTGAGACCTAATAACTAACATTTAGATCCAACAATTCCTGGCTTAGCAAAATACTGAATTCATATAATAAACACATAAGAAAATTATAAAAAAGCTTTCAGCAAAAGGGAATTATGTCATTAAGATCATCATATTCTCCATCAACAGCTACTCCAGAGATAGTAAGTGGTGCTAAAATTATTTTCCAGACAAAAATTTCCCTCCATGCATCTCGTAAGTATGTGTGCTACTGCATATGCCTTTCCATTTCAAGATACTTCACGTGTCAAATGACCAACACAAAGGGTCTGACAGGACACTGCATATATGCTAATTGGAATGAAATGCCAGCATACCAAACCCAAATAAGGATAATTTAAGAAAACTTACCTGAACTTGAGGAAGCACCTCTTAGCTGCATCGGTGCTAATTCCCAAATGAAGACTCTTCCTTGCAAATAAGTGAGCTTTCTTCAGATCATTATTCTGTGGCACAGGCTCCTCCAAATGGCAGAATGAATGTATTGCCATTATTGAAAATTTACAGATAATCTGAAGAAATTGAACTGAAAGCAAGAAATACAGCAGCTTTATTTTCTGTAAACTTACTGAAAATAATTTAGTTAGTTTTCAAGAAGTTGTTGCTTATCAATAGCATTTAAAACCACACGAAGGGTATGTATATACAGTGATTGATGAAATATAAAGGGATTAAGGAAATCAGATGGACCATTCATTTGAGCAGAAATACTCAGATAAAGAACTTCCATTTAATGCTAGTGCAGAGCACCATTTCAATAAATTTTAGGGCTGTCTCTTATACATTATATACTTCTTCTCTGCAAAGAAGTTTTCATAAGGGTATCTATAATGATACATGTATTTTTGCAGAATGTTTTCTTGTAATATAGAATTATATTACAAGTAGTTCAAGTTATTCCTTCCAGTTTGAATTATTTTATAACTACAAATACTGAATGACATCTACCAGTGTTATGCTTATATAGCCAGCTTTAGAAGGCTGCCCTCAAGTTCCTCACAACTTTCTCCCGTTTTACAGAATGTATGCAGCATTGTACTTTGGATGCTTATTTGAGGACAAGATGAATCACATCTAAGACAGATTTTAGAGGCATAATTGGATGAGCATCTCTTCTGGTAAAATGCCAGTTCAAACAAAGATGACCCTCATGGTGCTTGTTCTCGTCCTTGTGCCATGACCACATTTGTGTGGATGCATCTGCTGGTGGAGCCACCCGCTACACCGTATTGAGGAACTGACTTGGGTTAAAAATTGCTGCTTGCCATAGGCTCCTCAGGATCAATATTCTGACTCAAGTCACTGCATGACAGCACAAATGCCTGTGCTAATACAATTGGAGGGAAAGGGAGCAAACAACACCACATTAGCTAATTGCAGCTACAAATGCCAGTGCTTGTAGGGCCACACCAAAACTGCTTGGGTTACAGTTTCCTGCCAGAGGCCATACACTGCCAGTTCAAGGTGGGACGAACTACACGCGGTGTGCGAGTATATGGATACATGGGTGCATCTATGTCTTTTCCACTAGCAACAGAAGCAACTTAGATCACCGTTTAGATTGCTAATCACAGAAGAGATTTCTGCTGTTTAACATGTCTGCTTAAGTTAGGTGGGACCTTTTCTAACTTTTGAATCCACCATCTGATTTCAAAGTTTGTCAAAGACAAAAGTTGAAAAGTCATTTACATTTTAATAAGAATTCAGAATTCCAAGTACTGGGCAGGTGGACAGAGAAGACCAACACAGAAACTGACCAAACTGAAGTACAGACTGGAGCATATGCCCATGCTCTTAGGGAACAAGTACCTAGATAAGAGACACACCTTACAACTACCCCAGCTGCAGCTGGTATTTTTTGTTGCCATGGAATTTTGGTGCTAAAAAAAAATCTCCAGAGTAGTTAATTAGGGGTGAGATAAGAAAGGGTTTATTTTGCCAAGGCTAAGATGTTACAAGACGCACGCCGGCCGTGCCTGAGAGGTTACATTTTATAATACCCTCCATCCAATCCCAAATGTATCCACCCTGTGGCCTTTACTCTGGTCCGCCCCGGGTCCACCCCCTTAAAACAAGTCTGGGGTGCATTTCAGGACCCCCTGTTCATCCCACCTTCCTCTTCATCAGAGCACAAAGGGTACATAGTTACCTAATTCTTGACCATATTCTGTGGTTTAGGCCCTGATATGCTGTTCTGCCAACAATCTAGGCCTTGCCTTGACAAAAGACTAAACATTTCTGCCATATTCAGGGATAGGATTGATATAGGGAGCATAGAATGGGGTAAGAGGGTTAAGGAATGTGTAAACAAGGGTGCAAGAGAAAGGGAGAGGGACAAGGGACAAAGGAGGGGGGGGTTGCTGCTTTTAAAATCTACTTTCAGTACTTATAAAACTTACAAGTCTTACAAATATTAGAAAAATAAAAAAGCATTAGGGGCTTAAGGCATCATTTTCATTCCCTCTAAGATACAACTACATGGGAAGCTAGTGGCTGTTGGATCTTGTGCTCACAGAACTACTTGATTATCCATGCAGAATTCAAATCTACTTAAGTGGCATTAAAATAAGAGTCCTTGGTCTGCAAATTCCAGCTCTGCTCCTTGTGCTCAGTTTAAAAGTACATTATGTGCAAAACTTGATAGCTTCTGGTCCTCTGGCACAGCATCTCATCCTAACGAGATGCATTCTTCTTAGCAGATCAGCCACTTCATCCTTTAGAAGGACTAAATGAATGAACAGTATCAAGTCCTTATCACTTAGGAGTCTTCAGCACTTTATTCTAGCATTTAGTCTTTTGATTCTCTAATCCCATAATCACATAACTTACCATCAATATTATTTGAAAAGAATAAAATGTATATGACATCTCTGCGGTGAAGAGTAGCATAAAGAAATAACTCCACTTCTTCCTAGCACCTCTTATTCCTTTTAATTGTTTTCTATACTCCCTGAGAGTCCAAGAGACACATCAAGTCCTTCAAACAATACTTGCAATGTTACCATCCTCCTTGTATTTTTAAATAAAAGCATACAACCAAATGTTTCCCTGAAATACACTGCTACCAATAAGACATGACAACTATATCCTGTTACTGACATTAATTTACATATTTGGAAGCGTTAAAATGTTACATAAAAACATTTCTGATCACATGCATGTGAATGTGATTGGCCCTTTACTCACCTATATCCACGCAGTAATTTTGAGATTTCCTCTCTTATCACCAATTTCTCACTTAAGAGTAAATAATTAACAACACTAAATGAGAACAGTTAAAGAGGTATCAATGGAAACAAATTTTATCCAAAAACAGGAAGGAAATTCATATGAATTCCCTGCACATGAGAAGGATCATACTGTTGTTAATCAAAATACAACTTCTTAAATAAAAATACTTTCCAGTTTAATATTCAATTAACATTTGTTGTTTATTAAACTCAACCAGTTGTATCTCAACATCTATGTATATTCAGAATCTACATAGTATACTCTAACAGTGGTGGGGTTTGTTGGGTATTTTTTGGGGTGGTGGTGGGTTAGGAATTTTTTTTTTTTTTTAATATAAGAATGCCCTTTCACACTCAGAGTCCTTGGTTTGGAAAGTCTGGAAAGGCCTCAAGCCTTTCTTAGGCTGCTAACCTGCAGTGATAGCTTTGTTACTGTAGTGTTGACACTAGTGGTACCTGAATTAGGCAAAATAAGCTTAAGCCCATTCATACAGTTCAACTGCACATAAAGCATCATTTTCAGGCACTCTACTCTGGACTAGTTCCAGTACTGGAACCAAGTCAACTGTATGCTAGGAAGGAATAGCTGTACAAGGAACTCAAACTGACTTAAAACTGTATACAAGGAATTTGAAGCAATACACAAGAACGCATGGGTGTATTTCTCTTACTCTTTTAAATCTTAAACTTGGGTGAAATTTGCAACTCCATGCTAGAACATTATGCCATAGGTAAAATAATGGCAATGATTTGCTAGAGGTTAGCTTATTCAGTTAATTTTTTTTTTACAAATAAATACCTATTTGCATAATACAAGTATGATAATCAAAAAATCATTCCAGTTGGAACAGACCCCAGAGGTCATCTAGTTCAACCTCCTGCTCAAAGCAGCATTAATATGTGAATACTCATTAATGATATAAGTTGTACTCCTAATCTTGCAGACCACTAATCACATGTAATCTTCAATCAAATGCACTCGACTGCCTTTGATACCATTACTTATCTGCAGAAGGGTTTGTGGGACCAGTTACTTGTCATACATTATTCCTAAGCATGGAACATTCTAGTACTTCCTAGCTACACCCGTAACACCAGCACCATGCCTCCATTTCATTTTAAATGTCTTTTAAGCAGGTACTGTTGTGAGAGCAATTTTCAAAGGGGGCCTTGCCAGTACAGGGGTAGATTTTGATAGATGAGAAAAGGAAGTAAGTGGTAAAACGCCACTAAGTGAGGCAGAAGCACAGAGCCAGGTCCTGGTTTCATGTGTGTTTCACAGGTTGATGAATGCAGAATAGAAGTCCTGCTCTGAGAGATACCTATAAAACCAGAGAAATCAACATCACTGGCAGCAACAGTCCTGTAGTTATCAACATCAGTGACCAAACTTCAGCAGACTAAGTTTGGGAACCTCTACTTTAGTCCTGCCGTCTTATTTTGTTCCTCCAGTTTTGCTCTGATAAGGACCTCCATTTTTCATTTCTGTTTAAGTTTACACCTTTGTTTCATGCATGAAAAAGTGATTTAATATGGTACAGCATTACTAATTAAAAAAAAAAGAAAAAAACCACAAAAATCCACAGGTAAAAAAAAAAAATTGAAAAGTTTTATAAAACCATGATTAGCCAATCACACAAGCTGAATTACAAAATAAATTTGCCTTATATTAGCTCAGTATTGTCCTCTGTGCTGAAGCAAGAAATACAGTAACATTTTATCTATGCTGTATGGCAATATATGAACTCTGCCACATAAATTAAACAGAGAAAAACCCTTATTTTCTAAAAAATTATTTTACTTAAATATTTATTACCTGCTATTGTAAGTAACTGCAAACATTAATACTTTGCACACTTTATTGTAAACCATATAAATACTATTTAAGTGGTAACAACAACAAGAAATAAACAGCACAAGGTTATATAGAAAAAAAGAAATTTACTTTAGCAGCTTTGATAAGCCTGGTCTTAGGCCTACCAGAAAGGCATTTTAAAACACCAGGCTCTGGAATTTTTTAAATACACTGAAAACCTTTTCAATTCTACAGTTCCAGACATTACTTACATGCCTTCTCCAAGCATTCATTAACAGTCACTGCTGTATGCTAGGTTGCATAGGGCCTCTCCCTATTTGACCCGATATACCAGCTCTTAAATGACATGGTACTTCAACAATTTTCTCTTAACTATATACAAAAAGAGTTAAATTTAGACCTCTCAATAAACTTGCGTGTAAGTGGCAGAAATAAGTTCATGTGATGGTGCACATGCATCAACCACAGGACCATGAAAGAAAGGGGCATGGTTGAAAGATGCACGTATGAATCAGCAAGAGATGGGAATCAAGCAAGCAATTCTAAACCCATAAATGAGAGATCAGATGGATCCCCAAACTGACAGGCCATCTTCACCAGCAAATTTCTACTTTAGGTAGAAATTTACTTTATACTTGTGTCAAGAACCTTTAATATTTTGTCTGATTAACAAAGCTCAATAATCGATTCTACTAAATATTATTTAAGTTCCCTTTTAACACCAAACTATATTGCTTTTGTATTTTAGACAGTAAAATTTTCTTAGAGAATAGTTGTTTGTGGCAAAACTAACTGCATTTCCATGTTTTCAACTTTTTATAGGAGTATAGTATTTGGCATTCTAGTTGAGGCAGGAAGTTCAATACCTGACTACCAAGGAACAAGTCATTGTGCTGGCACCTTGTCTGAGGGAAGAGAAACAAATTGCAAGGAGATGCTCTCATGACATCCTATCAAGACAGATATGTCCACACCTTGCTAGGCGCTGCTGCCATATAAAAAGCAGATGACTGGGTTTGAGTTTTGGCCGAGATGTGAAACTACTTTCCTGACGACTTTCAATAGAAAACAAGCAAAAAAGAAAAGAAAAAAAAAAAGAGAAAGAATTGTTAGTGTCAATTATATTGTATTGTTTACAGAAAATGACATCAGCACAAAAGTTCTGCATTAGCACACCACAGGTTATATGAAAATTGCCAGTGTGGCTAGTTAACAACATTTCTGATATAAGGAAAAAGCACTATGAGACCAAAAAAAAAAATTACAGCCATTCCCTTCTGTTTTAAAGGCAGAGGTAGAAATGATGCTTTATGTAGAATAATTACTAAACATTACAATAGCTTTGAAATATATTATCTCTAATTTTAAAGTATAAAGGAAGGTTGAGAGATTGAGAGGGAAGAGGACAATTAGATGCATTTAACAGGCCAATAACCTGCAACACTTGAGAATAAGAGGGGTGATAAATTTGCATCAGCAAACAAGAAGTTAGTAATATCTGGTTTCAGCTAGAGGTTGAACTATTGATATGTCAGGCGCTAGGGAAAAAATGTAATAGTTTTTTTGTTACCACCATCATTGCCCCATTTACTTCCCACATCCCTCACCAACACAGGATCCAAGAATTATAGCAAAATGCTCTAAAAATACTTTGAGGATTTTTAAAAATCTTTTATTTAGAGAAGGATAGTGGTCTCCAGGCCCAAAATACTTGCTTTTTGAGGGTGTAGAACCACATGTATTCTTACAGCAATTAGAGTAAAAAAACTCAATCATGATGTGGTGTTTCAGCACCACAAAATAAAATCTGTCATATAAAAATAATATATAATATAAAAATATAAACCCATCTATGTTCTACTTCATAAATATAAATTATTTTCTTTCATTATCCCTACCTAAGAAATTTATTCATATCATCAGATTTACTAGCTGTTTCACAAATACATTAACAAATACATTCACAAACATTAACATCAAGCGTGTTACTACATTTTTCAGACATTAAAAAACCCCATCAAAGGATAATTTAGAAACAGGAAAGATTTTGCAAAGGCTTTTAGTTCACACAGAATTAGTCCCACCAAGTTTAACAAACTATTTAGACTCATGCAATTCTGTGAAAAATCAGGTAAGTATGCAATATACTGGCAATTCAAGAAAGAGGAGATAGAACAGGTATTTTTAAACTCTTCAGAATAAGCATTAGCATTTCTCTGCCTTTACACAGCACTTACTAGAAAGAGATGCCAGAAACTGGAGCCTCTGGTCACGTATAGTGTCAGTGGCTGTAACTGTACTGGCATCCTCACAAAGGACAGACGTTTCCCCAAATGGGACTGTAGAAAGCAAAAACATGCAAGACTAAATAAGAAAAGAACCACAAGACAATAGAGATAAAATTTAGCTCAAGTGCTGTAAGTACCAGAGGGAGAAGTCTCTAATTGGTAGGTAACACTATAAGCTTAACTAGCTAAGAATGGACAATCTGTCATTTTAAAACTTCATAAAATGTATCATTGCTCCTTCTTCTTACTCAGTATGGATCGACATCTTGCCAACTCAGAATCAGTTTGCTTGAAGAGACCCCTTCCTTTTGTACTGTAATACATGAAAAATGTCTTGAAGCACGTTATGGAGTGTAACAAGAATTGTCTAACTTCTTGGACAGCTAGTGTGTTACTTAATATTCTTTGTTCTGCAAACACAGGAATCAGGCTCTGCAGGCAAGATATTTAGAAGTTTTTTTCCCAAGAGTCATAAGGGTTCAACTCTTAATTACTATGTTTGATTACCACTTATTTTCAAGAAAACAAAACAGCCTTCAAAGTTACTTTGAAAACAGAATGAAACAATTTAAATTCTTTTTTAAAGTGTCATGTGTTATACCAAATATTATTTATTTGCATAGCTATAATTTGGCATTAATTTCCCTTTTATAAATACACACAAAATAGAGATAGGAAAATTGGAATGGTGTAAAATACGCTAAGTCCAGTAAACACTGCCTTCAGCTGCTATTGCTGAAAACCAAGATTCTCAAAACAAATAAATCACCTTACTGATAACATGTCTTTGAATTCTCATGTAAGCCAGTTAAAACTAAAAACCACCTTAGAAATCTCAGACTTTCATGCAGGGAAAGGGAAAACCAGTATAAAGGCCAAACAAAAGGAGAGTGAAATACAACCCACCTTAAAAGAGCAACACCAATTAACATATGAAACCAGAAACCAACATATCATATCTGGGCAAATACTATCTATTTGTTCACTTAATTTCAAAACACTTGTCTTGCTCTAATCCTTTTTACTTTGTATGTCTTTAAACCAAATTTCCACTTCAGCTTTTCAAGTCCTTAACATCAAACTAGCCAATATCGTTGCCATTACAGAGATATGAATTTTGTTTGACTGTTGTTATATTACCTCATGCTGAGTCCCATTGAATTTCTTCCATCAACATTTCATCATTGGTATTTTCCCACTAGAAATATTCCTGAAAATAATTCGTTTCTGAAAACACAAGAGCTACTAAGTTAAGTCTTGGCTATTGTTTCCTACAGGAATAGGATCAGAAGCCTACAGGCTGTAGGAAAGGGAGGTAAAATAATTGAAATAATAGAATGAAAATTAAGAAAAGTATTTTGAAGGCCAGCTGAAACTCCCAAATGGAAATCTTTACAGTGATTTCTGAGAACACTACATCAGGTCTAAAGTGTTCAGTTTCTCTCTTTGCTACAGGGCAAAGAATATGCTCCTGTTAAGGGTGACAAAATAAAAGACACTCTTATGAGATCCAAGAAGAAAAAAAGAAGTTTACCTTCAGCTCAGAGCAATATATAGATTTCTTATCCTCTGGTAAGGCTACAGATACCATAGTAAGGAAAAAATGTAGCACTTCTTTTCAAAAGTACAAGGGAAAAAAGGTGTAAAAATATAAGAGGTTTCTAATTCAGAAAAAAGAGAAGGGTTTAAACAGACAGCAGTTGACAAAAAAGAACCTGGCCTCTTATTTTAGCTACTGATTTTATAACCTCTGTCTCAAAAAAGATGTCCCTCCCTTTGGTTAAAATACTGCTATGCAATAGCCAAAGGATACTACATGTACACATTAAAATCAATAACGTTAGTAGGTTGTTGTCTTAAAAATACCTATGAAATCCAAGAAAGTTTACAATCACAGTCACCTTGACTTTATATACAGAGAAATTATCAAAGTGAGATGATGGTGACTAAGCTTTCTTGTAATCCATATCTGACAACAGAACATCACTAACATATTTAAGCATTAAACAGAGAAAAAGAGCTATACATATAATCAGTTACTTTATTACTCTTACCTTTCCAAAATGGCACTTTGCAAGTTTAAATTTTAATGGTCTTATGTTAGTTTTTGGAAAAAGAGGAAGAAAAAATCAAGCAAGCGTAAAACCCAAGAAACAAAATCTTCAGAGCTAAAGTTTTCAGCTGGTACCTCCCACTCCATATTCAGTTTCTCAGGGACCATCATGCAGCAACAATCTGGTTAGAAATAAGCAGCCAACGGGTGTGTAATTTGCATGTGAAAATATTTTTAGAAGACACACACTAATAGCATATGTTCTCAGCCTGAGTACAATTTTCTAAATATACGCCCTGAATTTTATTTCCCCAATATTACTAAGTATGATCTAGACAATGGTTTCTTGTACAGATATGTTGCTCTTTGAAAGCAACATGCATATCAAGCCTTAAACAAATTAAACTCATTAAACTCGTTTCAGAGTTCATCTTGGAGAGGCCTGGGAGGAGCCTCTATGAGTCTTTACTGTCAATGTAATGACAAAGTTGGCAAATTACGCTTGAAGAAGAGTGCAACAAGATGATAATACCCAGATTCAGAAAGTTAAATTGGGTATTTATGTTCATTCACTTGCCTGAATCAAAGCAGTTTCAAAAATTGTATCTAAAAACCCTTCTACTCTATGTTAAGAAAAAATAGTTTCAAAAGGTAAAGACAGAAATCAGTAAAACAAGAAATAAGCCATGTGCTCATATATTGTTAGTTAAATCTAAACCAAATCTAACCAAATTGACACAACACGACAGAGAAAACTAGATTTGAGCAAACAGCAGTCTAACTAGATCCCAAAGTCATTACCAGTCCACATCTGGAACACTCAAATCAATTCCTGGTGTCTGCGGGGTTGGCATAATGTAGCAATTATTACTTTAGGACTGTTTTGTTCAGCACAACTCAATTTCTATTGTATCGTGAGATGAAAAATGTCAGTTTCTTTTCTTTGCCAACACGCAAATTCTCTTCCTTAAGCATATGGAAAAACTCAGGTCTGGATTCTTTCTTTGGCACAAGCTTTCCTTTAACCAATTTGAATATCAGGGAGGAAAAAAGAAGTTATACCAGTAAATCCTACTGTGGTACTTAACAGTATATAGAAAAATAATTGACATCATAGAAAAGTTTGGGTTGGAAGGGACCTTTAAAGGTCATCTACTCCAACCATCCTTCAATAAGCAGGGACATGTTCAATGAGGCATCAGGTTGCTGAGAGCCCTGACCAAAACGGCCTTGAATGTTTCCAGGGACAGGGCATCCACCACCTCTCTGGGCAACCTGTGCCAGTGTTTCACCACCCTCATTGCAACGTATTTCTGAATTATTTCTAGTTTGAACACACCCCCTTTTAGATTAAAACCATTGTTCCATGTGCTATTGCCACAGACTCTGTTAAAAAGTCTGTCCCCAAACGTAAATTAATTTACCAATGGACCCTAGACACCCCTAGGAAAACTAAAAAATTACACTACAACGATAAGAAACTAAACCATAAGCAAGTATTACTAGGGCTGGACCCACAATACTCTGAGAGTCCTAAAATGCCATGAGAAAAATTACTGCATACATACAACTACCTAATGAAACTATTAAACAACATTTATTCAGTGGATTTCATTATTTGACCAGTTTTAACAGTTAAAGAGAGCCACTAGAAAAAGAGATTAAATACAAATCAAATGCAGTGTGTCCGTAGAAACACCCATCTCAATGGATGTAGAGCAAATTAGTTCCTTCTCCTACTCAACATCGCCAAAAGTGCTTTGCACTTCTGATGAAAGTACACAGGAAAAAAACACATTCTCCACAATGAAAGCAATAATGAACCAAACCACAAGATCAATATTAAAAAAGACCTCCCACAAAATTATTAGCAAGTTTCATTACAATCTTTCGCTGGTCAGGCAAACAGCTTCCTCCAATAGAGCAAAATACCCTCAAACATTACTTAAATCTTCAAAACACTGCTGCAAAAATTACAGGAATAACTACAGCAAAAGCTAGATTATAGATGTTACAGTGGACCCATCGTACTAACATATCATTTCGCGATGAAAATCACACAGTGCTAAACACTTTTTAAAAAGGCAACCAGGGTTAACGTGTCAGGAAAGCAGAGGCCGGAAAGCAGAGGCAGGCAGTAGGAGAGAAGGTATTTTTTGTGCTATCACCAGAACCATTCCCTGACTCATTCCCTCCAGCCCCGGGGAGCAGGCTGGCTTGGTCCACACTGACAGCTTTCTTGACGTAAGAGAAGCAGAGCACTGACCTAAATGCCGAAGCTGCTGAGCTCCTTGCAGCTCACGCCCGAGGAAAAGGAGCCAACATGGATTCAAGTGCCAGCTACTGCAGCCCGAGGCTGCTGCTGCTGCTGCTGCTGCTGCAAAAATGCTCGCCGAGACCGAGAGTCCCACATCACCTCGACCTCTGGAGCCTCAAACCTCTAAAAACGACTGTAAAGCGAAGTCTAGGCTGATATTAACAGCAGAGATTTTCAACGGGGAGCTGCACATCCCCGCAGCGCTTCGGTAGCAGCAAAACTGGCAGCACCAGGGTCTCAGGCAGAAAGGCAAAACCCGAGGTACCGAAACCTCGGACAAGGTTAAACCACATCCTGGGCGCGACTTGAGCCAGGTAGGTATTCAATGAACCGCAGGTTAATCATCAACTCCGTGCCCCGAGCAAGGCGCGGAACGGCGGCAGCGCCGTCTCTCCCTTTACCGGGGCCGCCCCTCCCGCCCGGGAGCTGCGGCTGCCGCACGTCACCCCCCGGACCGAGGGGCGGGCGGGGGAAGCAGGTGCCGGGCCCTCCCCGCTCAGGCGCCCAGGGAGGCGGCGGAAGACCGGCCTCTCAGGCCGTCCCTCCCACCGCCCCGCCTGAGTGATGGAGCGCGGCGGGAAGGAGCGGAAAATACCCCGGGGCCGCTCGCAGGGCTGCGGCGCAGCCCCGACCCCGCCCGCTAGCGGCTCCGCCCCCGCTGCCTGCCGGGAGCGGGGCGGGCGGGCCCGCATGGCGGCGGGAGTGCACCGGAAGCTGCGCAGCAGCGGCGGCGGTGGCGGCGGCCGGGCGGGCTGAGCCGGCCACGCGCGACGGGGCCCAGGGCTGCGCGAGGAGCCGGGAGTGCCGGGAACCGAGAGCTGCGGGAGCGGTGGGAGCCGGCAGGTGAGAGCGGGGCTGGAGCCGTGTCCACCACGGGCCGGGTGAGGGCTGTGGCCGGTGGAGTGTGGCGGCCCCGGCCTGTCCCGGGCCCTTCGGTGTGGCTGCGGCGGAGAGCGGGGAGGTGTCCCGGGTTCCGAAATGCCGACTGAGTATTTCATGTCAGTAGCTGTGTGACGAAGGGGCGCGGCCCCTCCGCTCCCCGTTAACCAGGGACGCGCTCTGTGCCGTCTGTGTGTGTCCGTGCACACCCGCCCCTTGCGCGGCTTCTCGTGTTCCAGCGATTAACTCTACAAACGCTTTTTTCCTCTGCAGTCTTTCCATAGTGTATGGACCACTCTGGATGTGGATTAAGAACTGAGGAGGCAGTTTAACCATAGGTTTATCTGAAAGAGCTGGGCACGTTTCGGTGTGGAAGGGCAGGACCCGCGCACTGGGCTGGATCAGCTGCTTGCCATCCATCCATCCATCCATCCATCCACCCTTAGCCCCTCATTTCCACTGCCGTGGGGCAGGGATTACGGCTCTGCCTGCACCAAGTGCCTTCCCGAAGTCTTGCATCTCTTAGCTGCAGCTATAATAAACGCCATTAATTTAAACCATATTAAAACACTGACTTTTTTTTTCGGAAAAACTGAATGTTTTGTCAGCAAAACATGTAGCCTCTGTTGCTTCTCATACACCCATAAAAGCATTTAGTATGAGAATGTTTAAGACAAGTCTGACTGAAGAAGAAATTTTTAGAACTTTCTAAACTGGCACCCTAGTTTATTTTGAAACTTCATCAGTTTTATCTTAATTTGGTTAGTCTGTGTTAGACTTCTTTCAGGAAAGAAATTTGTGCTTGCTCCCCCTCCATGGAGATTTGCAATTCTGCCCAGCACTTACAGGCTGCGATGTAAAGAAAGTTGCTTTCAGGTTCCTCTGAATGTCACCTCTTTTCCCTAGCCCATCAGTTGCACCACTCGGTTTGGTGTCATCCACAGACTCCCTGAGAGAGCACCCAGTCCCACTGTCTGTGCCCCGTTGCTGAAGACAGTAAATGGTATTGATCCCAATATGGGCCCTTGAGCAACACCACTCATTACTGGTTTTTGCTTAGGGCACAGAGCTTCAACTCTTTGGATGTGGCCATCCAGCCAATTCCTTAGCCGTCTAACAGTTTACCCATCAAACTATATCTTTCCAATCCTTCCCTTTTTCCTTGTTTTCTGTCTTCTGCCTTGTCAGCTTTGTAGGTCATTGGAGTTTTCATAGGCCAATTTAACTCACTGGAATAGCAGAAAAACTTGTGCTTTGCTGAGTTTTTTGCTTTCCTGTGAGTTCAGTTAGCTCATGGAAAGTCTGATGAGTATGTGAGCTATCAGGGAAGGTGGGGGGAGAGAAATAGAAGAGAGGACACCCCCTGTTCTGCAGTGAACTGTTAGATTACCTCATGTCCTCAAGGAAGCATAACCATAGCATAATTATAATTACATAATTATGCCATGTCCATAGCATATTTTGCATTACATTTTTCAGTATTCAGACTAAAAGAAGGAAAGTAGCATAAATGCTTTAGAACGTGATCCAGTAAGTTTGAAAGTGCATTCCTGTGTACTTTCGCATCTGTAATGCACTTATTGCACTTGGCTACAATGGATTGTTTCAGTACTTGGTGCAGCAGTCTTTTCCTTTGTTGGTTTTTTGGCAGCTTTGTTGATCTCGTGCCCAGTTTTCACAGATTGTGCAAAGATCACCAGTAACTTCCTGCAATGTTACAAGCTCTTTGAAAAGTATAGGCAGGCCACTTAGTACCACTCTGCATATCTAGTATTGGCAGACCTGTTTTATTTGCTTTTTGTGTTTATGTCTTTGAACTGAAAGGATAATTAATTTTTTTTAAAGTTGCTATATTCACAAGAGGAATAAAAGTCTTTGCTCCAGTACTGTAGTACTATTGCTGGGTGATTATAGCTGGGGGGAGGTATTGTACATCTCAGAACAGTATTTAAGCTTTAAAAAGAAGGGCAGAAGTAACAGAGACTGAACATAATTGAAAAAAACCAACTTGCTTTCCTTTTGAGAGGGCTGACAGGGAAAACAGGGACTTGCAAAGGAATTAGAAGGAATAACCTGCAGCTTATTAGTGTTACTAACCTTTTAAGTGTGTGTTTTATTTATGTGGTGAGGAATTTCTTGGAGAATTTCTGTCATGTAAGCTATGTTTTTTATTTACAATGGAGAGCTGAGACTGCTTCAGGCCAAGGAATTGACTAAAAGTCCCTTGAAGAGTAAAGTTATGTGTTTTAGGGTGTTATCTGATATAACCTATGATATAGGTTGATATCTGTACTACTTGTTATTGTATTTAAAAAATCAGCTTCCTGGCTAGACTAAATATATGATAATATAGTTGAGTTGCAGTGTGATAGTGCTGTTGCCACTGGGTGAAAAACTGGGAGTGCTTGCTTTTCCTTTATAGTTCAGCAAGTGTGCATACTTTTAGCTAATTCATCACTTTTCACCTTGCGTGAGCCCAGGACTGTACTGTTTCTTATGCACCTTCTAGCATTACTTTGAAAATTAAACATGTGCTCTGGGGCATGTGCATTGATATTTTTATGCTCTTGCCTTCTATTCTGTTACAACCACTAGTTTTATAAGTCAGAGTATACTGTCTCTACATGCTGCAGCCTCGTAATTCTGAGGAGTGCTGCTGAACACGTTGAGAGTGTCAATGTGACACACCATCATCTCATTTTGACCCAGTCTTAAGTTGCCCTTGGGGTCTGATTTGAAATGAGTGGTTGCATTGTTCTACTGTGCTGTTTTTAATTGATGCTCTGTTGGTTTTTAGCATTCTGTCCAGTTCTGTAGGGTCTCGCCTTGCCAAATATTATAAATGCGTTTGGGTTGAACTGGTATTGGCACTGGTCTCAAAGAATGCCTTGAGAAATTTCCCTTTTTGAAAGGAACTAGAATCTGAGTTGATGCTGTACTGTATGAAAGGGTTGAAAGGACATCATGGTATGAGAGAAGATGCTTTTCAGTGGAAGTATTGAAAAGGGAACAGTTGTGGCTGAAGGAAAGATTTTACATTGATGATTTTGCAATTCAGCTTACCTTAATTTCTCATGCATCTTGAAGAAATATGTATTTATTCTAGTTAGTTCCATTGGAAGTCAACAGGAGCAGAACTGGATCCCTGTAGTTCCACCCCCCTGGTTTTGCTGGCTGATTCAAGGTGTAGTTAACCCCAGTGCCAGTGAAAGAATGGACTTAAGGAACTGCCTTCTGATGTGCACCTGGGTCATACTAAAGTGGTGCTCCACAACTGAGTCTGTGTGTATGTGTGATAGGTGAGAAAAGAAAATTTTGACTCTGAATTTAAGAGTCATTTGAAATAGAATATTCGGTGTCACTTGTAAAATATGCAGTGGAGTTACATAGTAATGATAACTGTGGAAGAGCTTTAGTTTGCAAGGAAGACTATAACATTGTTAAATTAACATTAGGAGAAATTTCCAAAAATGGCAGTAGCAGCAGAATGCCCTTCTGTAGTTAAACATTGTTATGTTTGCAGGACAAACTTCTAACAGTTTATTATGCAATAAATTCACTGTCTTGAAAGATGCAACAGTGGGGTTTTTTTGGTTGGTTGTTTTTTTAATGGTCCTCAGCACTAACCTATAGCCCCATGGGATCTTACTGTGGACATTTTTAAAGTTCATTCTTTCTGAGGGTTAGATGAAGTAAGGTGAGATGCCCAGCAAGACTTCTACATTTCTGCACTTGGAAAATATGTGAGACCTTGTAGTGCAAAGAATAGATAAGCTTGCAAATTCAGGACTTAAAGCAGTTAAATCTATTATGTGACTTAATTTAAAGTTTTGAGTTCATAATCTGCACTGGAAAAAAAGTATTTTCCATTAAAGAAATACTCTTCTGAATTCATTTCCACAAATTATACAAGCTGCATTATTGTTGCTATTTTTTGTTTCCCAAACTTCAGCCTAATTTTTCTTTAATTGTTTTATTTACTTCTTATTTTTCAGGAGTCTTTGAAAAATCCTTAGTGGTCATGACATTGTTACAAGTGACATAAGTTAGCCAGTGGCTCAGAATGATGGATACCCAGAAGACTACAAATGGTTTGCAAGTGATTGGAGAAGGGACTGGTATAGGGAAATCGACACTCCACATGGTGGGGTATTTGGGAAAAGTCAGTTGAAACTTGTTTTACATATGTGCAAAGTTCATATTTTTCTCTGTTTTGAGAGATTTTTAATTGGTCTTAATTTTACCAAAAAAATTCCCAAAATTATTTTCCACGGAAATCTATAACAATGGCGAAAGATTATTCTCAGTAGATCAGTGCCTCTGATTTTTTTTACTGGCACTATTTTTATAATTGTTTGCATTCTTATGAAAATTGATTTGTCTTAAAAAGATCTGAGCTTGTGTTCTCTGGCAATAAGTGCCCTGTGGTTTAGTTCAAATAGAATAAAATGTGCGTAACTGTGTTGTTAAAGATGCCTTATTTTAGTATTTAAATAAAAATATAAATTTATTTAGAACATGCTACCGTACAAATATATAAATGCTAAAAAAGAAACCAATGTAGTTTATTTTTTCACATTGTACGGTATTATATTTAGAAGTTGCACATTGTTTTTTTATCCTGATATGTATGTCTTACCTTTGGAGAATATAAGAAATGCATAAATTTATGCTGCTTTATCTTTCTTGGTTTATCTTTATTTCAGAACTGTAATCCCGTGGAAACAACTGCACATGAGTATTGTCCAGTCTGCAAAGAGAAGGGTCAGATCCAAGCTTTAAGGACTTACCGTATTAATTTTCAAGAGTCCATTTTTCTTTGTGAAAATCCTCAGGTATTACACTAATAAACAGTTTTATTTGGCAGTGCAGAGGCCTTTACCTTCAGTGGTTACACCTCTCTAAATTCACGACTTTGGTGGTAGTAAGCAGACTATTGAAATAGGACCCCTTTCAGTCTGTATGCTTAAGGATATTTGCCTGTGTATAGAAAAAGCTCCATAATTAATCTTTGTACAGTGTTTAGGCATAGGTACTTACCCTAAAGAATTAAAAGAGTAAATCAAGGAGGGATTTGCTTATGTAACAAGGGAACATAAGTGGTACTAAATGAATCTTTGTACGAGTCAGAATAGAAGATGAAAATTTGATGGTCCGTGTAACGAATTCATGATTCTTGCAGATGTGAGTTTTCCATTTTTCCTTCTTTATGTCTGGGAAATGCAAATAGGTTTATAATTATAATTACAATGTTTTTCTTTTATTTTTTTCCTTTTCTTTTTATGTTTAACCTTAGCTGGATTTCTGTGCTGCTTAATATTTGAGTTGTGTGATTTTGCTGTGTCTCCCTTCGCTGCTTCATGTACGTGGGGAGGGTATAGCAATCCCAAGTGGACCGGTGCCCTTAAATTAGTAGAGGCTAGACGAGATATGTGTCTCTGAGATGCTTTTCCCATCCCTTCCTACTTTTAACTAATTATTGTATAGTTTTGGAGATTTGTAATAGCTACTTGTCTGTATTCTGGTTGCAGAATAGCTGTATGTGTATATGACCTTACCAACACTGGTCTAAGGCATTGGGATAGCCTGAGAGGATACTCTGCCAGTTTGGACACCAGCAGTCTCTCAGGCATGAGATGATCATGCCAAATCTGTACCCTAAAGGAATGCATTTAGCGTAGAATAAGACAAGAAGACGCTCCTTAGCAAAATGAGGTTGTTTTCAGCAGCTGGAAGAATTTACTGGAAAAGTAGTGTTGAATTATCACTACTGATACATTTACTTCACAATTGCTCAAAAGACAATGGTTGAGTAAAAGACACTTCCTATCATATATATGTTGAATATATGTATTGACTTAATTACAATATCACTTTACAGAAGTCCTTAAGGCTGGGTTGGATGGAGCTCTGAGAAACCTGGTCTAGTGAAAGATGTCCCTGCCCATGGCAGGAGGCTTAGAACTAGATAGTCTGTAGGGTCCCTTTGAACCCAAGCCATTCTGTGATTCTACATTCCATTTTAACATTATGTTTTATACCTATTTTTAGCTCTTGTTCACCTGAAATTGCTTTGTACATTTCACTGTAACTTTCTTTCCTTTAGTGTATCTACCCACTTGGTTATAAACCATTAGACAGCATAATTACTTCTGCTGGTTCAGAACATCATCAAGCTCCATCTACTCATAAGAAAAGAAAATTGTGTGATACCAGTGACTTTTCTCCTGTTGAATCAGATCCAAAAAAAGCAAGAACTAATCATCTGGTAAATGCTGAGCATTCTATTAATACAGACCCTACTGTGAAATGCTCTCAGAATAGCTTCTGTATTCCTAAGTCAAGCCTACTTGATGTATTACAAAATGACCAGCAGAAACCTGGAAACAATGTGGAGTCTTGCATGCAGAAGATGGATTTTGAAACAACCACCAAGACCGACAACTATCAAGAAAATCCACCTAAGTCTTCTAGTCCCAGAATACAATCCTTGCCAAATTCTGAACTTTTATCAACAACATTTGAAATTTCACTGAAAGAGGATAAAGGTTCCACTAATAACACAGATTTGTGTCTTCAGTGGAGAAACATACATAATCTTTGTTGGTTAGATTGCATTTTGTCAGCACTGGTACACCTAGAAACATTAAAACTTGCCCTAGCAGAAGAATGTAACAATGGAAAATGTTTACTCCAGAAACTTCTAACAAAATATAGTCAAGCAACTATGCTACTGAATACCTGTAAAAGGAGTAAAGTAAAAGGTGAGTAAATTTAGCTGCTGTTTTTTCTGACCACAAATATGTGAAATTTAGTACAGTGCACTTAAATATGCCTCCGTTCTATTTCAAGATCACAAAAGAATGAGTTACAGTTCATTACCATGAATTTGCAGAGTACTGTGCTTTATATAGCAGACTCCTAGTAACCTCTGAAATTGTTTTTCTTGGGGCAAACGTGCACGCTTTGAAGGCATCAAACACTGAGCGTCTCTTGAATTGTTTTTTTCACGTGCCACATGAAGGTTTTGTGATTTATTATGTAATTGAGCCTTACTTTGTTTCCCTCCCCCTTGTTGGTTAACATGTTAGGATGCTGTTCTAATATCAATCTTCAAAATAATTTCTGTTGTGGTTTATATCCTTGTTCAAATAGGCAGTAGTTGCCTTGTCACACCAAAAATAGTAAAGCCGGGAACATATGTTCTTTCCTGGCTCCAGCCGTGCTCACTGAAGGAATGCTTCCCCTGGGGTCTGCAGGCTGCAGTGTAGATGACAGTGCTTCCTAACTTGTCTCAGTCAAAAGTAGTCAAACACATTAACCTTGTTCGTGTGGTCTGGGAAGGTTAACAGGGGGTTAACAGGTCAGGTCGGCTTAATGGGTTTGAGGACTGACCTCTGAGCACAGGGGCTGTGATGGGCAGCTCAGGGCAACCATCCAGCAGCACAGCTGCACTCAGAGGAGCATGTGTCACTGTAATCTGCTGCTGTGGTCTTCGACCATTTTCTGTTCCGTGGATTCAGTTTAAGACTCTTAAACTAAGATCATGGTTTTTTCAGTCCTCTTGAACTGGACCATTGGTGTCCTAAGTCTAAACTTCTAAGACATCATCTGTTAGATAATTAAAGAGCTCTCTGGTTAGTCAGTACCTTTCATGAATGTCCATAGACATCCCATTGGAATATCTGTGTTTGAATATAGAGACTATAGTCCCAGAACAGCCTAAGGTAACTTTAAGAATGTCATGTCTTTTCTGAGAAAAATTACAGGTGTATCAAAAGTGGTTTAATCCATGTTACAGAGGGGGGGAAAAAAACCCCAAATATTCTGAAGTAGTTCATATACTCTGCTTGCCAGAAAGTCAGGGTGCTTGAATTTAGGTTTTCAGCTGTTACTGGGAAGCCCTCTACCTTCACAGAACCTCTCTGAGATGTTTTTCTTTCCCTTTTGATGGGCTGTGTTTGCAAAGGAGCTCTGCTGTGCAATAACCTTTAAATGGGGATGTTAAGTATTGGAATATAGTGTTGTTTGAGAGAACATAAACCTTTTCATTTTCAGGAGTTGCTGCAAAACTTTGTTTGGGTAACTAACAAGTGGGGAGGGGATTGGATGAAGAGTATTGTGGAGAAGAGGTGTAGAATTTATTCTGCCTTTCTGTGTAGTTTTTCAGCATCTCTTTCATACAGCTGCTTTTAAAAACAATAGAAAGCAATATAGCTGCAAGAAACTTCTGTTTTCCTTTTTTCTGTGCATAGAGTTTATATGTAATAAACAGTTTCAACAGCTATTCTAAATACATCCTTTAATTTCTGCAGGTTATGATCATGATTGTGTAGTAGAAGTTATGTTCTTGCTTGCGCTTAAAGAGTGTGTTTGTGTGGAAACAACATAACTTGCAAAATTAAAATACATAATAAGATACATGACATAAAAAATTATTTTTAAGTGTAAAATTATTTTTACTGTTTTAAAGGCTCATTTAGGAAATTAGTATTTAATCTGAAACAGTACATTTAAACGTTTTATTATTGTAAAACATTAGAAAATATGTAAGCAAATTTTCCTGCTTTTGGTCTTAATGTTTAGGTTTTAAAGTTTGCTTCTAATCTGTGAATCTGCAGGATTTGTAATATGTGGTCACAGTATCCTTAAAAATTGTTGCTATCTAGCTGTTGGTGTGCACTCTTAGCTGTAATTTAATCAGATCAAGTAGTTTTTAGTTAGCACACTGTAGTAAAATGTGAGTAACTTGTGTAAATTCCTCTCTAATTTTCAAATCAATTAATACCAAGAATTGACTGTTTTACCAAGTTTCAGGCAAGTATGGGTCAATATGAAAGGCATCAGTTTGCAGAGAAAGAGTGCATGTTAGGGGTTACATATGTGTATGAAAAGGTGGAGTGTCGCACATAAATACATGAAGACGTATTTTTTTCTGTAGATGTTCTTCCAAAAGCAGAATCTCATCTCAATGAAGTCAGAAACTTAATGTTTACACAGCTTCAGCCTCGGCTTAGGTGTGAATTGGGTAAGTACTTCTTGCAGCACCTCAGTATTTACTTTCAGGAAACTATATGTAAAGCCTTTTCTGTCAGTACATAAAAGTGTGTGTATACACATGCATGCAAGACAGTCTGGAAATACATTTACTTGAGCTGGTAACGTACACATACTTTATAGTATGATCAGCTGTTTTGTCCCTTGCCTGTTTTGACTTTTCAAAGAGCATATTCCCATATTTGTAATTATGCTGTCATCACAAACTTGTCACTGATAACAACCTAATAACATGGATCAGTCCCTTTGCTGTGAGGATTAGAAACAGAGCCTTGAAATGATAACTGAAATTTAAATCCTAGCAATAAGCTTATTTCCTTCCTTTTTGAAGTACTGAAAGGTGATTTCAGATATTCAGTGACTGTTTTTTTCTGCCCCATCTTTGAAGGTAATATGGAGAATCCAGTGTTTGCACTCCATCTACTCTTACAGTTGGATCAACAAGCCGAGAAACTATTCTTGCATTCATTTTCATGGAAGTTTGAATGTGTATATTGTGGCTACAAATACCAGAACCGGTGAGATTTTTAAGTAGCTTCTATATAGCTGTTCTACCCTACCTTTTAAAATCCATATATGATAGTTGGCTTTCTTTAGATTTCCAGATTTTATCAAGCTTAAGCTTGTTCGTGGAGTTGTATGTGATCCACTTTTTTAGGTTAGCATTTGCAAATAGTTTACTGCTATTATGTGTCTTAAGAAACCATGTTATCAATTAAGAAAGAAATAATAGGTAACACTGCGAGTCTGTGGCCACACTTGCTCTGGTATTTTGCTGAGAGTATTCAAGTTGTTGTGGTTCTAAAGAATATATGCCTAACACTTTTCCTTTTAAAGAATACCTGTAATATTCATTTGGATTACAAAGGATCAGAGATTCTCTAACATAATTTATCTATTTTAAAATAGTATTACAGGGAAGTAATTTTTTGAGAATCGATTTACTTCTGTGTAGCTGCAGGTACAAGCTAGTAATTTGGGCTCCTTTTAGAGTCAGCAGAAGAAGAGAGACACCTTAAGAAGACAGCTCACTTTATTTGGAAAACATCTGTTTCTCTCTACCGTCTTAGGTTTATACAATAAAATTCTAGATTCCCAAATGAAATGAGGTTAATGCTGTCTGTTACTCTGACAGTTAATAGGTATGTGTTCAATAGCCTTGGTTACATACTGTGCTTTTTTAAAAGTTGAAAAATTTAGGTTAGGTTGAATACAATGGAAGTCCTTTCTGTGGCTAATGAATTAATAAACTATGTTACTTTGCTTTAATATCCCGTACATTGTATTTTCATATAATATAACCTCTGTGTAATCTCTGCTATGAATGTGCTGTTTTTTAAAAACAAGACCTTGTATAACATGGATTCTGAGGTAATTTGTTACCGCTTTCTTCTCTTCTTGAGATTTCGTATTAGCTAGTAAATTATGTGGGTTCTGGTACAAGCTCTGTCCTATGTTGGAAAGGAAATGGAGATAACATGAAAAGGGAAAAAGAACAAATAATCAAATAATGTGAACCTGAAGGCCACAGAGCTGCTGAAAACAAATTGTGACTGATACTGTTTGGGAGAACTGAATTCAGTGCTGACTTGGATGTGATGCAGTCACGGGGAATTTCACACAAACGGCCTGAACACAAATAGAATTTGGCTTTGCCATAATGTTTTTATAACTTTTTTCTCCTGGTGAAGTATGTATATTTATTGTTTTCTGATCTGCAACTGAACTTACTCTATTTTTTTTTGTGTGTCCAGATTTGAGAAAACACTAACAACATTTGCAAATATAATCCCTGATTGGCATCCACTTAACGCTGTTCATATTGGACCATGTAATAACTGTGGTGATAGATCTCAAAGACGACAGATGGTTTTGGAAAAGTAAGTTTGAATATATGAACTTGAAAATAAAATACGTACAATTCATTCATACAGTTCATTTACTGAATGTATGACTTTCAAAACTAAACTGTGATTTGGGTTTACAGAGATTCTAAACTTTAAAATCTGATAAATACTCACTTTTTAATATTTTAGATCATTCTTAAATGCTGAAATGGCAAATAGTGTTTAATAAACGTGAAACATAGAACATTGTTTAACATGCTGACCAGCGCGTGTGTTTGATCCAGGTCATAAATACTTATATCAAGCAGTATATAGAGAAAAATTGTATCCTGTGTCAGCCTTTCCATAGCCCCTGCCACTGGTGAATAAAACTTGTTTGATCATTTGTTTACTAGTTTGACTTGGGAACAATATCCTTTCCTACTGTGATTATGGCACAGTTTTCTCCTTTTTTTTTGTCCCCCCCCAATTTTTCTTCACTCCCCAAATCCCTTATTTGATGGTGTTTTTTCCCCCTAATCTATAACAAAATGGAATATCCAGTTGGGATGTTCTTTTCCCTTGACTACTGTGCAATCTGAAGAGTCCTGTGAGGAAGTAGAATAATAAGGGCAGAACCACATACTCTTAGAGATACCTTACTTTTTCATTAGGAACTTTTGCCACTGTTTTATTGTAATAAACTGGTTCTTTATTGTTTCTTTGTCAGAGTACCTTCAATATTAATGTTACATTTCGTGGAAGGCTTGCCACATAACAACTTGAAGAAATATTCATTTCAATTTGAGGAAGACACTTACCAAATAACATCTATTATTCAGTATCAGACAGATAAGAAGCACTTCATAGCCTGGTCTTTGAATCCTGATGGTAAGAATCAGAGAATGGGTAAGGTTGGAAGGGACCACAGTGGGTCATCTGGTCCAACCTCCCTGCTCAAGCAGGGCCATCATAGAGCACATTGCACAGAACTGTGCCCAGATGGTTCTTGAATGTCTCCAGTGAGGTTCTTGAATATCTGCAGTGAGGGAGGCTCCACAACCTCTGGGCAACCTGTTCCAGTGCTCGTTCACCTGCACAGTAAAGAAGTTCTGCCTCATACTCAGGTGAAACTTCTTCTGCATCAGTTTGTGCCCTTTGCCTGTTTTCCTATTGCTTGGCACCACTGAGGAGAGCCTGGCTCCATCCTCCTTGATACTCTCCCTTCAGATACTTATAGACATTGATGAGGTCCCCTGTCAGTCATCTCTTCTCGAGGCAGAACAGGCCCAACTCCCTCAGCCATTCCTCATAAGAGATAGGTAAGGTAGAGTTTATAGTTCTTATCTTCATAATACTTCATAAATCTACATGAAATACTGTTTTATGAGTTACTGCAGTAATCTCAACAGTCAATATATAATAAAGATTTCTTTTGTCTGCATTCTAAACTTCATATTAAAATGATGTGAATAATTGGGGGAACTTGTTACCTGAAGTGAAGGTTTAGGTTTGGTTTAACTGATTTGTTCAGCAATGTTCTGCCCTACAGTGCACTCACTGGCAAAAGTAATTTACCTAGGGCTTTTTCCATTCATAACTTCGTAAAAGTTAAAAAAATTCAGTCTGACCATGACTGTGGGACAAATAGTATTGGTTATTTTGAAACCAGAGATTCATCCATTCTTGGCTGGAAGCAAGGGAACCTATGGAACTATAAGCATTAACGAAGCTTCTTTTTATTTCTGAACTTTATGGCACCTGAGGAGTGGGAGGCACAAATCCATGTTAGAGACATTACTAATAGTAGGATGGATGGAAGCTCCATAATCAGAGAAGGGAAAAATTGATATTTTGGTACTTATGCTTCTGTAGAAAGAATGGAGTACAGTCTTACGAAGTGTTGTGACAACATGAAAATTGTCTTAATCATACTGCCAGAGTTTGAGAAATAGAAGAGGAAGCAGCTGGGAAATGCATAGTTAAGAGCCTCCTATACATCATATATATCTATTTTTAAGTTCTTAAAGCTGTAAAAGATTTGTTCATGATCCATGAACAATTTGCAGATGATGAGACAAGAGTATTAAAATGAGCAGTTTCTCTTAAACCCCCTGCTTCCCACCCAGGCAATGTAAGGGTCTACAGAGGAACTTAATTTGAGAGGTGGTTCTTACCTCAGACCTGTGAGGGTATTTTCAGACAAAGTATCTCAGCCAAAAATCCCTTAGCTTTGTTTTATGTTTGACCGACTCTGACTTGTAATAATACTGCTGCAAGTTCTCCTTGTGTTTGATCTTTTTACAGTGGAAGTCTCCCAGTTTTCTCTGTAGAAAAACCCTCTGTTTTTTTGCTTGTCAGGGGAATGGGTTAATAAAAGTACTTGACAATGTGAGGATAGTGACTTCAACTTTAAAAGTCTCTGAGTCTCTTTGCTGTTTGTTTTTCAGGAACTTGGCTTGAATGTGATGATTTAAAGGGGCCATATTGCAAGAGACATAAAAGATTTGAAGTTCCTTCTTCAGAGATTCATATTGTTATCTGGGAAAAGAAAACATCCCATGTGCCAGAAGAACTGAATTCACAGTTCCAGAGTAAAAATATTGAAGATTTTCCTCTTAATAACATACAGTCAAATTCCATGGTGTTGCACTGTGATTTTGATAGCACTGTAGGCAAAACACCTGCAGAACAGCACAAAGAGGATTCTGTGAGAACCCCAGAGAAGAAACAGCAGCGAGTAGCTGAGGATGAAAGTATTGTTCATCATGGTTTAGAAAATCTGGCACACGATGATCTCGTAACACTGATGCTTGAAGAAGTTCAAGTTGACTCGGAAGGTAAATCGCTGCCAAATGGACAGATGGTGAGAAATAACCTTATTGTTGAAATGGGCACACTGCAACAGCAGGAACCAGCTTTTTCACTTAACACTCCATATACAGGAGAGCTTGCTGGAACTGGTCTAGCTATGAATAATAAATGCATGTTATATGAAAATTCCAACATTTGCTTACCTCTAGAAGAGTTGAACCCAGCAAGTATTACTCCTCCTGTTCTCAAAAAACATGACCCTGACTCATCTGACTCATCACTTGCTCAAAGAACAGATGACAGAACTAATTTAGTTAACAGAGAACATGGATTAAATTCAGAACTACAGCTGAACAAGAAATTGTCAGCAGTAGAGAATACTATACAAAAATCACTTGACTCGAGATATGCAAGCAAAACTGTCATTAATTCTCAAGTTGACAGTTCTGCTGCGAATAATTCTGTTCAGCCTTCACACAAAGACCAAAAAAGAGGATTTGTCGGAAGCTGGGTAAAGAAATTATTAAGCAAGAATACTTCCTTTATGCCTTCAAGTGCCTCAGTTCTCAAGAATGAGAGAAGTTGCAAAACTCCCTCAATGCAAAAAGTAAGTGAAGTGAGGCTGCCAGTGAAGGGCGCGAGTAACTTTGGTGGATTTCAAAGCAGAGGTACAAACAAAACTGAGACCCCAAAGTCACTGGCTCCTCAGAGTAATAATAGTCATCCTTTATCAAATTACAAAGGATTTTCTCAAAGCAGTCGTCTTCCAACAGCAAGGCATACCACTATTGCAGGTCCAACTTGGAATAAGTCAGGAAGTACACTGGGTACCTCAGGTAAAGTGACTCAGTGCCATTCACTTGACTGTAACTCTGGGAAGGCAGAAGAGTCAGATAGTGACAAAACAAAAAAACTTCGCCTGAAACTGTTAAAAAAACTGAATGCTAAAAAGAAGAAGTTGGCTTCACTGGATAGACTAGCAGTGGAACAAATGAAACAGGAAAAACCTGTGAGTGGAGGCATAAGCACCCCATCACAGATTGAATCTCAAAATGACAGTGAAGTATTGCAGAGCTTTTTAAGGGAACTGCAGTATCAGATTGATGTCACAAATAATGAGTCTGAATTTAATACAAACTCTGTGTCAGGGTGCACTACCCATAGTAACACTGATGAAATACTGGCAGAGTTACTGTCCCCTACTTCAACTGTTGCTTCCTTAGAGGCTCCAAAAAGTGAAGATGAATGTATGTATATGGAGATGGTGGATAGTAGTGTTGCAACAACAGGGTCTGATGAGAAGACCAGTGTGCCACATGCAGCAGTGACAAGTGAGGACCACAATTACTACAGTCCTGTAAAGGACACTAATTTGGAACTTGATGCAATAAACAAACCCAGTGGGAAAAAACTTGGTTTTGAAAGTCCTACAAGGGAAGATATACTTGAAGACCTGTTCTCCATTTCAGCACCAAGCTCAATGGCAGGTGACATAGATTTACCTCATTTTGATGAAACCCTGTTTGAAACTTGGTAAATATTCGGTTTCTTGGTTTTAAGTGTTTTTTTCAGTATTATGTATATTTTGAAACAAAGCACTACTAAGTTATATTTTCTAACTAGTTTAATTGCACACTGGCTGTACTTGAACAATTTACATTTGAGGTATTTTTTTCCTTAAGATTTTATTGTAACAAGCAAATCAGGTTTTAATGAATTTTATTGTTCTGAGAAGCAGTTATTTTAGTTGTCAGATTTGATGCTTTTTAATGAGAAGCTCTTATGAGTCTTAATTTTTGCTGCTTTTAATATGGAAAACATCCATACTCTAGTGAGTTTGAGAAATAATAAACTTCAGTAGTCTTAATGATGCAATGGTGTAAGAAATATTATTTATGTAGTAGTCATTTATTTTACAGGATCACTTCTGAAGTTATTTTGTCTGACATTAAAAAAAAATTTAAGTACCTTCTGTAGTCAGGGAATTTTGCATCCTTTGATATGAAGATTGTTTGTAACATTCTAAACTTGAAGCTGGCATTCTCTTAGGCTGGCATTCAGCTCTTTACAGAATTGCTGTTCTACAAGCTCATGCTGGTGTATATACCCCTTGGATCCAAGGAGGGATGGATACATGCTAGAAATTTTCCTATTTAAAGTTACAGCACGTACTGAGATTTCATCCTGGGTAACTGCGAATGTAATTTGGCAGAATATGCTTCTGAGCCAGGTTACTTTTTTAAGTAAAATTAGTAACATTCAGTCCAGAGTGCATCACTAAGAAGGAATATCAGATGTACCTTTTAGTTGTTCGTAGCTGCAAAATCATTAATAAAACAAAGGTTTCTGAGAATTAATTTAACTGCAAGTTAATGCCTATAACTGTTGTAACTAGGACTTGGTCACGACTAGAGCAGTGCACCCCTGTCCATATGTGAGAGTGCCAAGGAGAGGCAAGGTCAATAGGAAGAAAGTAATGGGAAAATATAGCAAGACAGCAGTGAGTAAGCAGAGGGATTCACACCTTGGTGTTTCAGGTTTTGTATAGATTTGGTTTTGCTAGATGGGAGTATTTTAAACGCATAGACACAGCTGAGGGTATTATATGCCAAGTTAGAGTAGCTATACATTTTTCTTGTTCTCAGAAATAACAAAGATTTTATCAGCAAGTCTTTGTCTCAGCCATTTTTAGAGGTGTTCTGCATTTTTTCATTGTTTTGGATTCCAAGTTCAAAACATTAAGTCCTCAGTCTTACTATTCCAATAGGTGCAGTTGAACATATTTGTTATTACAAGGCATGGCTTCAGATTTTAGTGGTCTTAGGTTGTTTGAACTAGGTTCAAAAACTGAAAAATTGTCAGTGGCCCCCAGCTCTCCATGTCAAGTTATTTCTGCTGCAATTGTGAACATTTTCATCAAACTGGTACTTCAGGCAGTGAATGGTTTCATTCTTGAAATACAAGTCTTTGCAAAGAACTTGAGCTTCTTCTTTGTTTGAAATACTGTAATTGGTAATGTTACAATAGAAAACAAATCAATGGATTCTGAATGTTAAGTGCCGGTGCACTGCTGGTGAAATGTTTGCCTGTTTGTGAATTCCCTGATCAAAAAAAAGCTGACCAAAATTAGAGTTTGATTTATCCATTAATAAAATAGGTGCCTCTGCAAGACTTGAGGAAGGTCATAGCATTTCCGTGGGGAGTTTTCCAACCAGTGGGGGGTGGGTGTGGGGGGGTGTGGGGGTGTGTGTATGTATATGTATGTATGCAAACCACTAAAAGGCAGCATCTCTCCCATCCCCGACTGCTTGTCCTGGAGCTGTGGGGAGCTGCCTTCAAGTGTTGGTACCATCAGGGACTGACTGGGTTGCAGCGAGCTGCAGCTGTGCAGTGGAAGCTCCTTCACCCCTGGCTCAGGACACGACACAGACCCAGGGGTGAGTAAAGCAGCAAGCCTGGGGTTGGCAATGCAGAATGCATAGGGCAACAGGAGGAAGACACCCTGATAGAGGATGAAAAAGTCCTGGTGGTAAGGATTATAATTAGGTTAATAGCAGAGGAGGGGGGCTATGGGGGCACACCTGCTGTGAAGATACACCTAGACTGAAGCAAGGACCTCTGGTCACCACTGGCAGCTCCACTGCAAACTGACTTAGGGACACCTCGGTCTGCAACTGCCTGGGATTCAGTGTGGGTACACATATATATAGAAGCTCCAAGAGCAAATAAATAGCACTTGAGATTAAAGTAGGTATGAAAATAAATCTGTTAGTGCTGCATGTTCCTGGTTGCCTTTTTTAAACTAAAAATGATACCGTGCAGATTTGTTTGTTTCCATAAATGTTTTACTGCCTCTCACTTGCCTGTGCAGGTGAGAATTCAGCTGAGATTGAATGACAACCCCATGACCAAAGAAACTGTTTGGAATTTGGTGGCTACTGGACATTTATATTGAGACTAGTTTTAAAATACAGCTTTTTATTTGCCATGAAGAGAATACAAAGTATTGTAGTAGTTTTTTGTCAGAAATACACTAAGGGGGCAGAGAGCAAGCAGAGTTTAACAGTCAGAAGTTACCAACTGCATTATGGTGGTTTCATCAGTGTGCTAGGGTAAAGTTCCAAAAGTCTAATGGCTTTGAGCACTGCCATCTTCAGCACTAAACCGTATCTCCAAGTGCCACATCTGCACGTTTTTTGAACACTCCCAGGGACAGTGACTCCACCACTTCCCTTGGCAGCCTGTTCCAGTGCTTGACAACCTCTTCGGTGAAGAGATTTTTCCTAATACCTAATCTACACCTCCCCTGATGCAGCTTGAGGCCATTTTCTCTCATCCTGTCACTTACTACCTGTGAGAAGAGGCCAACTCCCACTTGGCTACACTCACCTTCCAGGTAGTTGTAGAGAGCAATCAGGTTACCCCCCACCCCAGGCCTCCTTTTCTTCAGGCTAAACAACCCCAGCTCCCTCAGTCACTCCTCATCAGGCTTGTGCTCCAGACTCTTCCCCAGCTCTGTGGCCCTTCTCTGGACATGCTCCAGCACCTCAATGTCTTTCCTGTAGTATGGGGCCCAAAACTAGACATGGTATTCCAGATGCAGCCTCACCAGGGCAGAGTACAGGGAGGGACGATCACTGCCCTGGTCCTGCTGGCCACACTATTGCTGATACAGGCCGGGATGCCATTGGCCGTGGCCACCCGGACGCACTGCTGGCTCATGTTCAGCTACTGTCAATCAGCACCTCCAGGTTCTTTTCCTCCAGGCAGCTTTCCAGGCAATCTTCTCCAAGCAGTGCTGCATGGGATTGTTGTAACCCAAGTGCAGGACCTGGCACTTTGCCTTATTGAACCTCATTCAGTTGGCCTCAGCCCATCAATCCAGCCTGTCCAGATGCATCTGTAGAGCCTTGTCAATCTGTGTCTTCTGATTTGGGAAAGGCACAGTCATGGCACTTACAGTTCAGAATCAGCTCTGGGGAGATAGCACTCTGATTAACATCTTACTACTTGATGATACATTCAATCACAGAGTACAGGGTGGGGAAAAAAGGGCTGCCTTTTCACATCCTGCCTACAACAAATGAGCAGATATGCATAGGAGCTGCCTGGATGGGTTTTTAGCTGTGTGACCTGCTAGAGCAACGTTCTAGAAATCCACTGCGGTGCTGATGACAAATCTGTTTTTCGTGGCTGGCTATTGCCATTTATTTTTCTTCCAGCACTGGTTTTTACGTTAAATAATTATTCCCTTCCTGACAATGTACCTATGAGAGCAATTGTGTCCTGTCTGTGTTCCTTTTGCAAAGCTGAACAGCTGCTCTGCCTGATGTGAGCCCCTTCATGCTCAGAGCCAAGCACGTTACCTTTCAAGCAGTTCATGCAGCTCTTAGGTGTGTGCTCTGCTTTGAAGTCTGCCAGGATTCGGTCTTGGAGTGGAAGAACTTACAATCTAAGTACAGATCTAAGACAATGTGCGGACAGGGCAAGAGAGAAAATAAGGTTAATGGGGTTACCAGGCTGATGAATTTTGCAGCGTGCTTAGTTTTGCACTGCTGTCCACAAACACAGTGTAGTTGTTTGTGAGGAAGATGCTGAAGCTGAACAGTGCAGAGCACGGTGGAGCCATGGGGCTCATGAAGGAGAGAAAATTCTGGGAAAGGAGTGTAAAGAAGTAAGGGGCTGGGTGCCTTCTTTCCTGAAAGCTTACGTCTCTTGGCTGAAAAAACCCTCAAGAGATGCTTCTCCCCGGACATGGGTCTATATTACTCTTGTCAGTGTAAATTACTATCTAAAGCGGCTTCAGTAATGCCCAAGGCAGGGGCTTGTAGATTTTGTCCCAAGTTTTCTGATAATATTCAGACCACTTCAGCTGAGATTCGTTTCCCCTCTTCGTTTTCACCCTTCCAGGGAAACTGCGTTTGCCGAGGGGAAGCTCGTGCGTGGGAATGAAGCACGGCTTCAGCACACACCCCGAGCCCTGCCCTTGCTCCTCCCTCCCGGCTCCGCTGCAGCTCAGGAGTCCCCTTGCCCTCTCCCACTCGGAAGCTCCCCACGGGGCTTGTACCCCACGCGGCCGCTGGCCCGCTGGAAAGGAGGAGCCAGGAAAAACGACGTCCGCACTGACACGGGAAGGGTGGGGAAAAGAAAAAAACGTGATGTTTCCGCCCGGTTTCGAACCGGGGACCTTTCGCGTGTTAGGCGAACGTGATAACCACTACACTACGGAAACTTCCGATGCCGGCCTTGTTTTCTGCGGCCCCCCTTGAGAGATTACACGGAGCACCCTGAACCCCGACTGTCGATATATGCTATGGAAGAAACTCTTCTCGAGGGGGCAGGAAGGGCAAGGTCCTAGGGCTGAAAGCGGGTGTCGGGCTGGGAGTGGTATAAAGGCGGCGCGGGGTGGATCCAGCCGCCGCGAAAGCGCTCCTGCAGGAGGGAACGAAAAAGACACGGACGCTGAGCAAAAAAGACCGCGCCCCGTCCCTGGGTGGGCTCGAACCACCAACCTTTCGGTTAACAGCCGAACGCGCTAACCGATTGCGCCACAGAGACGCGCTAGGCGACGTAGTTGCCGAGCCGCGCCTGATTCCCGCGACAACAGGGGGCGGGCCGTGCGCCTGGTTCTCTCGCGGCTTCTCTCTCCGCTTTGGGAGGCTGGGCGTGGGTGGGTTGGGCTTTGGTGTCTGTTTGCTTTTTTAATCTAAAGAACAGTCCTTTTTTTTTTTTTTTAATCCTTTTTACTCTGTTGTTTTTGGTGGATTTTCCCATAGGAGCAAGGGATTGGGAAACAGTGGACAAGGAGAAAAAAATTAGTGGTTACAGTTCTGGCTGCTGGTGGGACAGTTGCGGATGGGAGCCTGAAAGCTGCTCTCTGAGACAGACCAGACAGCAAGCGGAAGCTCCGACAGTACGTGCCAAGGACAAGGAAGGCAAAAATTAGCATCTACCTGTTACTCAATACATGGCCAAAGTATCCAACATCTTTCCTTCTGATATTTTCAGTACCAAAATGACTGGTTGTGACGACAGACTTGAAGAACGGAAGAAAAAAATTAACCTCACAGTATTCAAAGACCGTTGATAATTATTTGCATGAGCTTAAGGAATGTGGGTACACTGACAGAAATGAGACAGGGCAAAAGAGACTTCTCAAAGGGGAGCAGAGAGGAAGATCTGGGAATCTGCTGCCCAGGCAGCCTCACCTCAGCTCTAAAAATGAATTATTAATCAATTTGCAGTCACCCAAAAGGTAATAATGGCAGCAAATATGAGTTGTGAAAATCAAATCAACAATGAAGATGTACCCTAGGGGGATGAGGCTCAGGTCAGGAAATATTTAAGCAACCTGCATGTACATAAGTCCATTGGTCCTGATGAAACATATCTTAGGTGCTGAGGATAATGGCAGGTCCATTGTAAGCTCACTCTCCGTTAGCTTTGATCAATCATGGCAACTAGGGGAAGTGCCCAAGCACTGGAAAAAAGAACACATCACCCCCATCTACAAGAGGGGCAAGAAGGAAACCTGGGGGATACAGGCTGGAGCCCCAGGAAGGTGGTGGGTCATCTAATCCTGGAAACCATCTTCAGGCTTATCAAAGACAAAGAAATGATCAGTAGTGCTCAGTATGGCTCAAACAAGGGGAAGTCATCCTTGACCAACTTGATAGACTTCCATGATGAAGTGATTGGCCTGGTAGATGAGGGGAGGGTTGTGGACTTCGTCTGCCTGGACTTCAGTGGGGCCTTTTGCCACTGTCTCCTGTGAGATCATCACAGAGAAGCTGTTGATGTGTGGGTTGGACAAAAAGATGGTGAGGTGGATTGAAAAGTGGCTGAACAGAGGGTGGTGACCAGTGGGATGATCTAGTTGGAGGCCAGTAACTAGCAGTGTACCTCAAAGATCAATACTGCTCAACATTCCATTAATGATCTGGATGATGGGGCAAAGTGTAACCTCAACAAGTTTGCAGACAGCACCAAACTCAGAGCAGTGGCTGATAGACCAGAGAGTGACACTGCTATCCAGAGGGACCTTGAACAGGTTGGAGGAATAGGCTGACAGGTACCTAATGAATCTCAACAAGGAGAATTGCAAAGTCCTGGAGCTGTGGACAAAAAGAACCCCAAAACACATGCACCAGTACATGCTAGAGGCACCCA